ACAGAAAAAAAATAACGGTAACCGCTTTAACGGATAAACACGTAATAAAATTCGAGTTGCCTCCGAAACTTGTATCCGATGAAACAAGGCAGCCGATTGCCTTCTAAATACCGGATTTTTTCTATTGACTAGCTGAATAAGTCGATACTAGCCTTGAACACTTCGCTAAACATATTTAGGTCATTAACCCTCGCCAAATCTGGTTGTGATTCACACCGTGAACAAAATAATAATAAAGCGTTGAACAGTTTTTGCGACCGTTCATTTAGACGCGACGTATTAGAATCGTCGTTTTTATAGCATACCTACAGCGAATAATTGTTATTGAAAAATATACGGAAGGCAAGGTAACATTTTGTAGGTGGTGTGAGCGATTAGCGTAGGCCGGCTTGAGCACTGCCTTCATAGGATTGATCTCTAACCTCGCGAATAGATACAAATAAGTATAAATAGTATAAAAATAATACTTTTGATGTTGTGAATTTTGTAAATGTATTCCTTAGTAATGTAACAACGCAACATAGAATCAAACATATACATATCTAAAAAAGGATACATGCTTCTCGAACTCTGTTATTGACTACAAGTATATACATTATATACTTATTGTTGACACTTCATATTTATTAGATACTTAATAATCTATTGGTAAGTCGTAATCGTGGGTGGGTTCAGTGTGAGTGAAACCAGGAAAACAGTTAATTTTCGATAAATATACCATTCTGTTACAACTTTATTATACTTAAGTTCAGATTACTCAGACTATTTGAATTTATTAAAGCGACGAGGTGTTTTATTATTCGGTATAGTTTATAAATTACAAAACAAACAAGAATTTCTGGGAGACCTAATGAAGAAAACAAAAATAGCCTAAAATTACAACATAATAACATTATAGATAACAACATAAACAATAACATTATAGCAATCGTTTAAAAATTATTAAAACATTATTACTATAAGTCACTAATACAATATGAAAGCAGTTTTTACTACGTTTTTGTTTTGTACTGGATAAGATAAAAAGTTAACTAACTTTCAGGCATAGTAACGCACGAGACTTATCAAAGTGTAATTTGTGGTATTTGTAACGTAGTATTTACTGCGTGAAGCGATTACTTCTACTTCTATTAGGTAAGTATCAACTTATTTGGCATTCTAGTCATACAATATACACAAGTACCTGTACACTATCTTCTCAATATGCGCCCATGCACATGATAAACAATTCAAAACAAAAAAAATGTCCTTCGACACGACCTTTTAACCGATTCTTGTGGCCGGTGCACACGCTCGCGAGTACCGTGTGTTATCGGTACAAGCTTATAAAAAAGGCTTCAACGGAATTTTATGTACTCAGAGTCCGGAGCGGTTCTTCATAGCTGTCTTTCATTTTATAATGGGTTTAAATGCTAACAGAGTCCGATAACCTCAGTACAAGGACACTCTAGCTCGTCCATCCGTACTCCTTAGCTTTATTAATGGCCAAAGCATGTTTTGCCGCCTCTTTATTATCTACATAAGTTCTTATTATTTTATATTCATGTAATTATATTTTATGTATGATCTAGAAAAAGGAATAATACAATTTTTAGACTGGTAACCAGAAAATTCAAATAATGGCGTTTTTTAGCTGTGGTCTTCTACATTTCTGTGCTACCGTCTTACATATACCACCTTTCAGAAGGAATACTAATACACTAAATGTCTGTAAACATTACATACATATAAATAAATAAAACTGAATTGTTTGTTTATAATTTCAACTTCAACAGCTTTGCACTAAATGCAGATAGCAATATTACATGGAGTTAACTTAATTGCTAAATAATATCATTCGCCATCAACTATTCAGTAGTTATCCTCTAGTGAAATATTGTGAAAGACAAGCGGACAGCATTACATTGTAAGTTCTTCCCTTTTGTATATTTTTAAGATGAACATCATAACAAGACAAAATTAGTCTAATCCATAAACCATTCAAAACCGGTGTACCTACCGTATATTTTTTACCAAACCAACACACAGGAACAATAAAAAAAATCTTAAGTCGAAGGCTATCGTCGTCATGGCGTCATGAATTTGTATCACGCATTTAATAGGTAGTAGTAGTACCTCTCATTGTAAAACGATTCTGTACTGACAAAATGCAATTAATCATTTTGGCATTTCAGAATAACATTTTGCTTATGATTAATGCATCGATAATTATTATAACTAATACATAATCCTATCTAATTTATATATTACATTATAGTTTTAACGTCAGGAGTTATGTTAAGGTTATATGATGCTAAGACATTATTTTTATCTCCCACAAGTCTAACTTATGATCTTTATGAACATCTATGCACCTTTAATCTTATTGATTAAAATATAATTGAATATACAACAACATATTGACATTAAAAGTGCACAGATAATATAATTTTTTCTATTAAGTCATTTTCCTATTAAGTAATGTAATATATACTTACTACATAAAATAAAACAAGTATGCTAAATGTTTATTGATTAAGTTTTTCTGCATAAATAAAATTGTTATATAAAAGCAAAGTCATATTTAGTAATATGTTTTTAATGATCATACTTTGAAAAAATATCTTAAATACTTTTCACATTATACCTGTGTAAGTACCTACGTAAAAACTAACCAACATACTGATTTAGCATTGCTAATTATTGCCAAAAAGTGACGCGAGGAAGGCAGCGTTAATGGCCAAATAATGAGCGTTCGCTTACAAGGTTACCCGCACTGTTTCTTGGCAGGAAACGGCACTAACTGAATAGATATGGACATGGTAATTACGGAGCCTTGACTTACCGTTTTAGAATAAAAACCGCACTATTTTAATGCGCGATATGAACGTTTGCAATTTGTATGGTAAATAAAATATGGTTTTAACTAATATTCAATAAAGATGATTATATCACTAGTAACTCGTAATCATATTGTAACTTTTATCATCAAGTATTGCATAATTATTATCCTAAAATAAACATAGTGATACTAGTTTTGGGATGTTTTCTCATCACATACCTGCACATATATGGGCTTACGAGTACGTGCATACGTAAATACTATGTGTTAAACATATACACATAACAGCCTATGAACATATGTCGTATATTACATGTGCGATAAATTTTCGCCACTGTGATATAATGGACCAGTCAGTGCTTTATTGCAGTTTTACTACCGGATTGACGAGTCCAAAAAAATATTATTTTACCCTCAATATTATTCACACCTACATTACAATATCTACAAGAGGAGGTTACCACGCGTATCACTTGTGATATCCTAATGTTCTTATAAAGGTAACGGTTATCGTTTACCATCAGGTGAGCCTTAACATCTCACTCCTCAGGAATTGCGATGCGTAATAAGGATATTATATGCATTTAACGCGCACTACTTACGAGAGCAATCATTTGACATTCAATATTCTCAATATTTTCCATTCACTATGCCAAAATATAATATTCAATAATACTTGAAAATCCTATGACAAGTATCTCATTACAATTCTCGCGCGTACCGCAGCAGCCGTGTGTCGTCCTAAGAATATTAATTAGGAACCCTGTTCTGGTTCTAAATGTCAAGCCACACAGACATTGGTGGAATAAAAAGTTATAGAGTCTTATGACATTTCACCTTCAATAATATTTGTGCACATATTATCATTACATTTGTGCTTTCAATACAAAATCTCATTCTAATTGTGGTTATTCAATATTCATCATGCTGCATACTATAAACCCATAGCAACTTAAATTATCTATGTTAGATATTCATGTTTGCCTATACAATTCATATGTAAAATTACATTTTAACTTTCTTATTTTTTCAAAATGTTGAAATAGTTTCAATAAAGAAGTCTTTAGTTTTGTACGGTAAGTCAATCAAAATTACTTCTCTTTTTATCAATATGAGTTCAAATCACACTAAATAAAGAATATTAAAATTATTAAGAATAAATAATATTATAAATTTAGAAACAGTTAAAAGTAACTAATTTTTAGAAGTAGTGAAATATTTCATAGTCACCATTTCCATCTGTAATAGAACTGTTCATATACATATAACATCATATATATAGATTATAGTACAATAAAATTGACAACAATATCGGAAGTTGTCATGTAGACTTTGTAATTAATCTATAAAAATAATAATATGTGTAGTAGAAAAAGAAAAATAATGCGTTTGTAAAAGTGGAAGAGCTAGGAAAATTATAAAAACCAACCATGATATATGGAAATAACAGTGCACTATGGTCATACAGTTTAAAAAAATATGAGACCATGCTCCGTTTCGTCACGACTGCCCGCACAGACGCATACAATTACGAGCACAGACAAAAAAGAGCCCCAACAATGCAGGCATCGTCCTTGAATCCCTAACAAAAGCTGAGAAAGGGCAAAGGAACTCGTTTAAGCCAACCTTGAGACTTTCACTGACTACCTACGCACTTTTGTTGAAATAGTTTATTTCAATTGAAACAGAATTTTACACTTCATTTCATTTCATTCATTATCTGTAATTACATGCTTTATTATTTTGAGTTCTACTATGTTGCGATCATTTTCATCTTTGTTTAAATATTATTATTCTATATTTAGTCGGAATTGATGATATATTCAATTGACACTGTTAAAAATGATATCACGGTAGACAGGAAACATTAACTGAATGGGTAAAACTCAGTGGTGTCAATGGATGGCAGATTTGGGTCGAGATTGAATTTGTCACTTTGTCCGCTAGAGCGCCAATTGTAATAAATACAACACGCACACATAGAATTCTAGGCGTGTATGTGGAGGCGAGTATTACCGTTATGGAGGCACATACCAGTGACGTCAACGAGGCCTTATGCCTCCAACGCTACACGAATACTTTAGTAATGAGCCGAGGACGAATATTTTATACTGTTTACTCTAAAGTATTTAATATATTTTATTATATCACACTAACCATATACATATTTTCTTTTCAGATCGAGACGTCTTTGGAGAGAATAATGGAACTAGAAGTGTACAAGATATACACACAAAAGAGCCAATTAGATTCATTTCATCAATTCTTGGAGGTGGCATTCCATACGGCAGTCATAGAGGACACGTTCTCACACAAGCAGAACGTAAACAATATTTACCAGTAGTTTCGGAAGAAAAGAAACCTGATGACAGACCATTAATAAAAGAAGAGAAAGATGCATTAGACAATGACCCTGTAGTCCTGCCAACTAGAAACACTCCTTCACCTGAATCAGTACCTTCACCCAGCATAGACAACAATGTGACGTGTCAAAAGGTTTCTGTCATTCAGAGAACACCATCACAATCTCAATTTCGTGATAATAAGAAAGAATTATCAGAAGTGAGCATTCCATCAACACTCCCTACGCCAGAACCGGAACAAGATCAACCGATCGATTACGTAATAGCAAAAAAGCGTGGAGAGACAGAAGATGAAGAAACGGAGAAAAAGATAAGAGAACAAAGGAGAACCAGTAGTTCTAAAATTGCTAACGGAATTTTGGCTAGACCTGTGCTTGTTTTGCGAAATTGTCCCGCTAAAGTTCCAGGCATTATCAATGCCGCTGCAGGACACGGCAGGTCAACAGGTAGCAATGGTTCCTCTAGTAGTTCTCAAAACAGTGGAAGCTCAGGTAGCTTCAGCTCTGGAAGTGGTAGTACTGCTCCTTCATCGGGGGGAGGCGGAGCCATTGGTGGAGGGTCAGGAAGCGGTGGCAATGGTCGGGACGGTAGATCTAACTATGGACCCAACAGTCCACCTACGGGAAGTCTACCTCCTTTCTATGAAACATTAGGACCCTCTTCAAAAGGAGGACAAAATTCTTTCAACGCCAATAGTAATTTCACTAACGAATTCAATATTATCAATGGATTCAATATGGACTGTGAAAACAATGAAAATTCTACAAATTTCCCAGAACAAAGTAAACAATATTCGTTAATGCAGAATGCCCATTACGGCTTAGCTCTAAAAGATGAAGAAATTGATTATGAAAATAAATTAGAAAATTTAGGCGCAATTAGCAACTATCCAAATAATTTTGACGATTCTATGGTAGTAGATATGGGAGATGATGTCATAGATAATTATCAATTCTCTACGACTTTAACGTTCTCAGGTACAAATGAAGGAATTTTAAGCAATTTATCAGACTCGACAGAAGACTTCGCAAATTTGTTAAACAATCATGTTGAATCTATAACAGACTCGGAACTTAGAGAATCATCATCAATTACTCCGGACTCTGTACACAATCCATTAGACATTGAAACTTTGGCAGAGCAGGTAAATTTAAGTAGACAGTATTATGAAAAAGCCAATTATTTAGCATTTGCCAGTCAAGAACAAAATTCATCTTATAATTTTGCTAAAGATCGTCCAGATTTACTGATGCAATTAAATCCAGCATTATTACAACACAACGAGGGTCAAATGCAACAGCTCCAAATTCACGTTCAGTTTCAGCAAAGGCCACAAATACTATCTCCCGGATTTCCATTCACTAGTCACTCATTAGAGTTGGACTCTCCTACTGGCGTGTCACTGCCTTCGCCTGGTGGGAACAATTCTTTGGACAGTAACAATCACATCGAGAATTCGTCACTCAGTCCTGCAGCTGCTGTAAGTCTCAAGAAAGGCTCTATCAACGAGAGCAAAATGCAAATCTTGCAACATAGGGTAAGCATTATTTGATTTTAAGGCGAAGCTATAAATATGACAATAGTAAAATGACAAAAAAATTTAATTGAATATTAATATAAGATATTAATTTGAATCGCTAAGCCTGAATCAACTATGCTTTCACTTACTGGATTTGAGTTCGTTTATTGAATTATATTATGGTAATAGCAATAAGCTCAGCCTTATAATTTAATAATGAATATTACATTACGATTCTATCAAACATTTTATTTAAGTATTAAATAGCAATTTTATTATTTGCAGTTGGGTTTGCCTGCGGAACTACCATTGGAATTCATCAATGGTGGACACGGCGTAAAAAATCCCCTGGCAACTGAAGCCAATGCACGCCAACGCGAAGAAGAAAAAAATAAACAAGTGTTAGTTAGCGAGGATGATCCTACCAAGTTCGTTTGCAGGGTGTGCTCAAAGAACTTTAGCTTACAGAGGCTTTTAAACCGACATATGAAATGTCATTCAGACGTGAAACGATACTTATGCACTTTCTGCGGTAAAGGATTCAATGATACGTTTGATTTGAAACGTCATACCAGAACGCATACTGGAGTCAGACCTTACAAATGTAATCTATGCGAAAAATCATTCACGCAAAGATGCTCACTAGAATCGCACTGTTTAAAAGTCCATGGTGTACAACATACTTACGCTTACAAAGAAAGACGAACAAAGGTAATTATTAATAATTTTGTTTAATCCTTACTAATATTATAAATGCGAAAGTAACTCTGTCTGTCTGTCTGTCTGTCTGTCTGTCTGTCTGTCTGTCTGTCTGTCTGTCTCGCTTTCACGCCAAAACTACTGAACCGATTTAAATGAAATTTAGTACGCAGATAGTCTAGGCGCAGAGGAAGGACATAGGCTACTTTTTAATGCATAAAAGGGTTGTAAGGGGTTCAAAATGGAAATACAAGGTTATCTTTATGCGGTTGAATCCTTATTCGTCATCTTTTCATTTCACTAGCTAACAACCAATCAACACATCGCGTGCGTTTGCGCCATTCGCCATCTTTTCATTTCACTAGCTAACAACCAATCAACTCATCGCGTGCGTTTGCGCCAATAAGGTATCCATCACAGAGAACATAACCACAGATAACATAATGTAAAACGAAAGATCTTGCCGGAAACATGACGTTGACGTTTAGTGAAAATATTGTTTTTTGACACTTTTTTATGATAAAATCGTATATCGTGTATATGTGTTTTTTCTTTAAACCTGAAATTGGCCGATTGCGAGACAAATTTGGCGATTTTTTTTATTAATTTCTTTTACGGCTCTGGATACAAGCCCAGTTTAGCCCAACTTAAAGTTTTACAATATAAATTACAAAAATTAAAGTCAATGTCCAATGTTAAATAATAATAAATAAAAAAAAACTTAATAACAATCACAATTTCTTCAAATTTTATTATTTACATTTTTGAAAGAATGTTGTGGTGTGTATCCGAAATTAAATTATTTACCCATTTTTGTAGGTTATACAGAAATAATGTGTGGGTGTTTATTTAAAAAGCATTAACACAAAATTAATAAAGTATAGGTATTAATAAATATATGGTTGTTGTATCAAAATAGAATTTTCTTATTTTTCACTAAAATAAAAACTAACTGTCTTTTTTATAAAATAAATGACCTTTTCATTGTGCCATATATTATGGAACTATTTAAATTATTTAGCTGATTGTAAGAAACAAAATGTTGGTTTGTAGATTAATACTGTAAAATTATTATTTGTACGGAAACGATAAAAATATAAATTCACGCCAAAACTACTGAACCGATTTGAATGAAATTTGGTATACAGATAGTCTAGACCCTGAGAACGGACATAGGCTACTTTTTAATGCGAAAAAAGGGTTGTAAGGGGTTAAAAGGGGGGATGAAAGATTGTATGGAAGAATCATTTTTCTAGAAGCTTGAAACTTATTTTTGAGACTGTTGATTAAATATAAATAAAAATGACATTCAATGTTTGTAAAAAATAGGGTACTTTTGAATGTGAAAAAAGGATTGTAAGGGGGTTGCAATGGTACGCTGTATGGAAGAATCGTCATTTTTTAAAACTAGAAGTTTGAGACTCATTTTTAGCCATTCAATGTTTGTAAAATTTTTACTCTTCGGGGGAGGGGGGGTAGTAAAATAAAATAGGGAATGAAAGTTATTGTGGAAATTTGCTGTTTGTGTGGTTGTGGAAGCTAGAACGATTAAACTTTTTTCTTTGTCTTTTTAGAGTTAGTTTATTAAATACCCTACTGATATTATACATGTGAAAGTAACTTTTGTTTATCTCGCATCTCGCTTAAACAGAGACATAGGTTACTTTTTAATGTGAAAAAGGGTTGCGAGAGGATTGAAAGGGTAGATCCAAGGTCATATAGATGTATAATTTTGAATCTTGAAATTTATTTTTTTATATATTTTATTTTTATTTTTTATCATTTTTTGCTAAAATGATGAAACTTATTTGATACTTATATTGTGTTAATTGAGTTAAATATTTTTTTTAAACGGCTATACGTATTACATATTTTAAGTTTTAATATATGGCTTTTTGATACTCAGTTACGTTTAAACGGCTATACGCTTGTCAATTCAATGTCATAGGATACATTTTAATGTAATTCACATGAGAAAAGCCATGAAAAAGTACTGTAAACTATATTCTTACTTAAAGTATCTCTGATGTATAAACCTGTTTTATTCTTTTTAGATGTACGTGTGTGAAGAGTGCGGACATACGACTTCTGAACCAGAGGAACACTACATGCATCTAAAGAAACAACATCCATACTCACCCGCGCTGCTGAAATTCTACGACAAAAGACATTTTAAATTCACGAACGCATCGTTCGCCAATCAGCTACTTGGCCAGCTTCCCATGCCGGTCCATAATTAGACATAATATAAACAAATTAAGAAATCAATCGGTATTCATGAAAAATTACTCTCTAATATACTAAAACCGATTACAGCAAAATTAAATTAAATAATTTATTATCAATTACTCTGTAGATACAATGGAATGATGGGTACTTAATTACGAATTTAGTCCGTCCGATTTAGTAAAAATAATGCAAAGTATTGACTATAGAGATAGAGCCCCAGTGCATTTCGCTAAATTTGAAGTTATGCACGCAGAAATTTCTTCGTACGTAATCTATGTCTTCCATAAATGTAGACATTCCGTTGTAAAACTACATAAATTTAACGGTTTATATTAAACTATGGAACTGTCCATCTTTTGTTCCCTTATATACCTTAATTTTTAACAGTCAATGTGAAAAATATCTTCGCCTACTCTTTAGGCATGACTGCAAAAATCAAAGTATCGGGTATTATGTGCAATCTTTGGTGAAGGTACGGGATTATCACTTAAGTATAGTTGTAAGTTAGACTATGACAGTTTAGCTTTAGCCTTAACGGATATCTCATAAAAATATAAGTTTCATTTCAAACCAGCTAGTGTTAAGAGATTATTATGTCAAATAATATTGGATAAACGGATGGTGCTAAATTCTTTTATTGCTGACTTGAAATGAAGCGGCTATGGATCGGATGACACTTCTTGTCCGATCTATAAATTATATTAATGTTCTCGAAGCATTAATATAAATTAACTCCACAATAAGGAATTTCTTTCCTCATTTAGTGATACTAGCTTCTAATTGTTTCTCAAAATATTAACACAAAATACGTCACAATGTTATGTGTACTCTATAAAAATGTTATGTTTGTTCTTTGTTTGTACTTAGTATTGAGATCGAAATTATTAAATTTGTACGTGTGTACCCTACGATGGGAGTCACGATTATGTCGTACCAAGTTGAACTGCATTTCTAGAAATATTTAATAATATTTAAATTAAAATTATGATCGAATACAGTCTGTGCTGTGAGTGTGTGTGAGAATTTTATCTATTGTATAACTGAGTTATTTAATGTGTCTATTGTTGTATTATAATTGAATTTGATAGGTCAAATCGTTGTTGGTCAAGCGCTTCCATTTCTAGAGAAGAATGAAGACTAAGATGCTCAATTTATAAATTTGCGCTTTCACAACGTTCGTTTTGTGAACAAAAATTAATACATTGTAAATATGTCTAAATTTATATAATAGTAACTAGTGAAAAAAGAGAATGTAATAACTGCTTAACTTAGTGGTACCTAATTAGCATTTATGAGATTTTTAAAAATGTAATATTATAATATTTTGTACAATTTGATAAGTTTTGATAGATCTGAATATTTATATTGGCTTATCATTGATCGAGTTTGGTTATTTCTATTATTGTGATAGCGCGATGCCTTGTTTGTTGCATTTAGTAGCATTTTGAATCCATCAACCTGTAGTTTCATATTTAGGAAACAAACTCTGTTACTCTATATCGATAAGCAATATATCATGAATAAAACATATGTGTATTGTTTCATTCCTAACCTTTAAAGCAATAAAATCTAAAAAACTTAGTCTGAATAAATACTCGCAAGGTTTGAACAAGACAAAGATAGTAAGAACAGTAATAGTTACTTTGATACAAGATAGTCTCAGGTTCAGATGTCAATTATAATCGAATGGCATAGAAGAGAAATCCTTAAAACATTATTTTCTTGGCCCTAGAAAGAAATTACACAAATTAATAATAATCTAGAAAATATGTGTCCTAATAAAATAAATCAGATATTTCTATGTACACCAATACTTCTTTTGTAGATTTAACAACAAAACATTTAACAGATTTAAATTTAACAAAACTAAAATTTTATTATTGTTTAATCCAATTTTGGTTATTGATTAATAGGCCAATTATTGTAGTAGATATAAGGTGTGTCTGTCTGTTTATTAATATTATAGATAAGCACAAAGCTTTAAAGAGATCGTCCCAAACAAAAGCTAGCTACTAGCAATATATGCAAGCATGCTACCCATATTTGCAAAGAAATTAAAAGAAACTAATATTTCTTATACTACTTCTATTTGATACACAGTATAGAGAATTAACTACCCACTTTTTTTCTTATTGAAGTAATTTCTTCCGTCTCATAAAATGACATATTATGAAATTACTGGAAGTCTGCAGCGACAAACAACTATTAATCTATTGGATTATTATAGAATTTTTTTTAACTGTGTAGTATCTGGAATGAAAATTATATATATATATATATACCCACTGACAAAGATGTGATAACCCATTTCCTTTTTAAAAATTTTCGCCTTTGCGCTTTATACTTTAATAACATTAGATATTCCGTACCCGTGATAATAGATAGCTAGCTAATATATAGCTTATATATTGTAATTATTAAAGAAGAATACATGGTCGCAGCGCACCACACAAGATAGGCAAGCCAAGCGCCGGCAAAAACTGTACAAGCAATAACCAATATTGTATCTTGTTTGCTGTTTCTATTTGAGTTACGGTTAAAACAAAGATACTTCATAAAAAAAGTGTATTATAGCATTTGATATTTAATATTGCCTATTTCATAGTAAGTTTTTTTTTACTTCAAGCATTTAATAAATTTTAATGTTATACTTATAATGTTCCGCTTTTGACATATAAACATATCTATAAATAAAATTGAAGTATCTGTTTGCAATATTGCAATAACTGTTTTTTAGTACACGCTTATGAATATAAATACATACACCAAAATAACATTTTTTATCATTTTTGTCTGCCCGTCTATTTATTCCGGCTAATCTCTGAAATGGCTGGACCGATTTTGACGGGACTTTTACTGGCAGGTAGCTGAGGTAATAACAAGTAACTTAGGCTACTTTTATGTAAGAAAAATAAAGTTAAATTCCACTCGGACGACGTCGCGTATAACAGCTAGAAATAAATATAACCAGCCGGATTATTTACCATGCACAATTGGTGAGGACATACCTATCTACAGTCGTACATCTTATTTATATAACTGGAATAGCTATCAAGCTATTAGTCCATCTGATGGTAATTGTAACCGTCGCCTATAAACAATACACATACGTCGCCAATAGACAAATATCACTAGAGCATCACATTGTCATGTGACGTCCGTAGTATACTCATGCCTTGCCAATAGGAGGGACTAAGATGAAGTATGCAAAGTAAGTACCTATGCCTTCACGCCCTGTAATTTTACGGTCTTACCTTACCATTCAACCGAAACGATAAGCGAGAAAGGAGAGTACCTAAATAGGTACGACAGAGAGGATTTTGTGAATACTCTGTCTCACTAAACAAGATATCACAATCCGAATGAGATCTGCTTTATTCCATCTATTAAAAATGTTGTACTATGCATTAAAAAATATATAAGTACCTACACAAAGGGGGAGGACGAGAATAGAAGTATACGAAAAAAAATATGTAAGTACTGTCGTGCTGTTCTTTTAAATCTTAGAGGTACGTATACCAAAGCGATATCTGTCTGACAACTGAATAAATAAACAATTATTTTATTCAGCAAACTTGTGTGCCTAATAAACAGATATTTATATTTTAAACAAACGAACATGACAAGTCATGAAACTAGATCGTTAAAATTTGCAAGTTTTAGTCAGTTTGTTGCCACCATTTTTGTTTATTTTATTCTAGCCGAGTTCACGACATGATAATCATAATAAGAAAACTATAGCTTCGTTGTTGTGAACAAAAAAAAAACTGATACAAATACTAAATGTAATGAATTTGTTAAATTATGGCTGTAAAATCCGCAGTAAAATAGATTGGCAAAAATTAATTTTGAGATTGAGAAAAATTTGCGTGCAGAGACATACAAGAATTCTGATAACATATGTTTTTAACTTCGGTAATATAATAACAACGTAGGTATATACAAATTGTTTTTTTAATAATATTTAATATCAAGTTAGCGGGTTACACTTGTATTTCATAAAATAACAAATTAATACTGGTAAACCAATTATAATAAAAGAAATAATATAATTGAAGTGAATCAGTTAAACTGTTCCTGAGATTAACGCGCACAAACGCACAGACTATCCGACTTAAATTGTTTTCGGTAAAATAAGGTTGTTAATGTCCTCCTACAACAATTTTTATCAAATATTCCGTATTCAATATATATAATACTTTCCGTATCGATATGAGCATATTACTATTATTCTATATCTAGTGTAATCCCATAATCTAGAGCCAATGTAATTTTCATGGATCTCGTATTTATATCTACTGATTTATGCTACGCTATATACATACAAACATTTTTCTTCATGTAATTAGAAAGGCAAACAACTGACGCCTTATGGTATGTAGTACTATCGCCTATATACATAAACGACACTATAGGCGACATGCTTCCGAAGATCTAAATACTAAATTTTTCCTGTACAAAAAACTATTATTATATGTAATATTTTACTCCCGCTACAACACATATGGCAAAGTTTCGTAAACAGACTATCGCAGGTAACTATGGCCACTCTGTTTTTAGAACTTTTTTTGTAACATACTTGTAACAAATTAAATATCATTGCTAACTTTTGAAATAAATTTTTCAACCAATTGCTGGCAATTCATTGACCTGAAATTTAGCAATTTCATTTTATCTATTTATACATCATGAACAATGTATATTGTGTTTTAATGTTGATATTAAGTATAGATTCTCAAATTATCGTAAAAAATGTCATTAATAATAAAGGAAATTGCCCAAAATTGTTTCTCTAATAGCAGTGACTTTAATTTTATTGTAAAACCATTTATTTAATAATTTAAGTTCTTTCAATTACTTATTGCAAACATCACCGCTTGATTCCTTAGACAGTGTGTCATTACATTTAGTGTAGGAATGATTACTTTATATCCATGCTCCTTGTTTTCAATGGTTGATGCATATTCCCAAAATTCTGGTGTCAATTCACAATGCATTGTCACCAAACTTTGGGAATAGAGATCTTAGTAACATCGACTTGTTATGATGTGGCAGCTGGAATACCCATCGCATGTAGGCTCATTTCATACCATTATGATTACGTGGCTAACAAATATTAAGATCAATCATTTACTAATTAAATCAAATACGATAGATCGACACTGCAATGTATTTCGCACCTTTAAATGCTAAGAGCATTAACCACTAGCAACATATTAATTCCATATATTTTGAACATGGAACAAACTAAAATGGTAATTTTAAAAAATCGATTACATTTTTTTTTATAACACAGGGGACAACGAGCTTGCGGCTAACCTGATGGTAAGTGATAAGATTACCGCCCCCTACCCGCAACACCAGGGGAATTGCAAGTACGTTGTCGGCCTTTTAAAAAGGAATAAGCTCTTTTGATAACATATGTTTTTAAAGGTTTCAATATCGTATCGGTTCCGAAATACCATTGCTGGAAGGTGTCCACAACGTGGTTGTGCGTGGCAAAAAGTTTCTAGAAAACCGCACTGTGGAAGACCGCCATTCATCCAGATGATCAGGATGGTATTTCAGTTTCTGGCGGGTGGTACGGTGGTGAAACTCAGTAACTGGTATTAATCCGTATTCAATATAACAATTCCTCAGAACACTCCCCGTGATATATGCGGTAGAAAATGCACAGAGATGCAATATCTCGCCGCAACGCCAATGGGTCGAGTCTGTCACATAGACGTCGATTACCAATGATTCTGACTGCTCGGTTCTGAATGCGGTCAAATGGAAGTAGCTGGTATTGTGGTGCTCCCGCCCAGAGATGAGAACAGTATTCCATATGCGACCGGATCTGCGCCTTGTATAATTGCAAGCGATGAAATACCGTCTCACTCTACTGAGCACATACACATTTTTTGAAGCTATTTTAGCCTTGTCTTCCAAATGACCGCAAAACTGAACGTCACTGGATATATCAACGCCAAGGACCTCGAGATTTGGCTTCACATCAAAGAGAGTGTCTTGAAACTGAGAATCTTTTTAGCGATTACATCAGTAATCGTGTCTATCAATTACTTCGGTTTATTCTCAATTGTATGTTGTGCGTATGGAATAATATCGATATTCGATATAGATTAGACTTCAGAATTAACTTCCTGGTTATAGGTTTAAAAACTTATTATATAATATATATTTTATAATATTTTTCAAAATATTATCATATAAAAGGCTTTATTTATCCCAGGTAATCCTTAGAATGTGTAATTATGAGAGATGAAAACAAAATTTCAATAAATTCTTGTAAACCATCTTTTGTCCTAATGACGTGTTCACGTTTCTTTTAAATCCTCAGAAAACCAATAAGAATAGTACCTAATAGACAAATAACACCTCATTCATCAAAACCTGAGAATAATGATGAAACCTAGGTTAAGGTTATCGACAGTTTGAAATTGTTATAATATAAAGTTTTTTTAATACCTGTGGCTATAAAATATTGCATATAGGTACCTATATAATCTTAGTAGCCTTAGTACCTGAGGATAAAAAGGAATGGTACTCATTCTTACATCACACAATAAAAAAAATACCTAAGCTTTTTTAATGCTTGTTTATTGTATGAATAACAAACTGTTATCTTTATACTAGCTGTTCCCGTGGTTTCACCCGCGTGAAATTTATAGCCAGTTCAGTAGTTTTTGCATGAAAGAGTAACAAACATCCATACTCAAGCGTTTTTAATATTAATAGGATTTATATCACAAAGTAAAACATATTGTTTTTCTTTTTTGAGTAAAACTATATGTTTTACTTACTGACTTTGGCGATTTGAAAACCTTTCCGAAGTTGGTTTTATATGACTCTGATATATACCATGACAAAAGTATCGTAAAATTTGTAAAAACTGCCAACCCTATGCAATGGCTTTGTGAAATTGTCACGGGTATGAGTACTCTTTAAGTAGAGTACTTTATATTACGTACAGTTTTTCATGGTTAATTTTTAAATAACACAATTTAAATAACAAGCAATATTTATAATGATAATGAACAATTGTACAAATTTGCGTAATGTCATGTTTGTTCAATTGTTCTTGGTCATCCCAATACCTAAAATATTCATATATATAATACCGAGCAAAGGTTTTCAACATTAGTTGACTGTTGGTTTTTGGATCTAGAACGTAATACAGTGGTATTTCTAAAAACATGTCGAAGGTTCTGTATTGTCTCTTGATCGCTGCGTTGGTTGCACAAATCGTAAGTCCAAGATATTGTAAGTGTAGTGATTCGCCCCGGCTTTGATCGTAAGCAAATATTGTTGGTAACTCTATTTTCTCGCTGATAAGTAGCGTTTTATAGGTGAAATTATATTTTAAATCGGCTAAATATTTTTGAGTTTATTCATTGTAAACAAAAACTCAAATCTAATGTATTCGTCTGGAAGCACCACCAAGTGTTAAATTACAAGTTAGTTACAAGATTTTCGCGACGGATTCTAAAAATAATAGTTTTTCAGTTGCGTCAAATTTCTGATGAAACATCTTAATAGTTCTGAAGTTGGGTTAATATCTACCTAACTGATTATCTAACTCTCATACATTTGATTGATTACAACTAAAGACATTTAAAGTAGTCTCTTTAATTAGTTAAGAGTTTGATTTCTGATAAATTACATTATTTTGAAATTTGCTTATTTGTGAAGAATAAAAAATCTCAGATTTATCAGCGTCTACCTCTCTACTGATTGTCAACCTTTATTACAATTTTATTTGGTAGAATTTTCTTAAAGTAATTTCTTACATAAGTATACCTAATTGATATAATATTTTGTATTGCAGTATGCCAAACCAGCCGATGCTGATGACGGTAAGTAACTTAAGTACGTCGATATAAAATTGTTTTTGTCTGTGTTAACAATTTACGCAGATAGCCCGTCAGTTAGCTCACCATGACCAGGAATTTATCACGATGGTTTCCATTGGAACCACATGGATATCAACAAGCTACGGTACACTGTATGTGTGTATAGTCCAAGGAAAAGTGTTAATAATAGTCCACATTACTAACACTGAGGATCTACCCAGGTCTTGCCGGTTTATTAAAATTGCAAGAGATAAGCCCTTTTTTATTTAAAAAAATGTATATACCTGTGACGTGCATACATCAATCTGTCATATGGATTAGCAGGCTATGATTCATTAGTAACATAATTTGTAGTTATTTGAGAAGTTAGGCTTTAATAAGAATTAATAGTATCTACTAATTTCATAAGTGATGAAACCTTTTTTGCGAAACAACATCTTAAATTAGCAACAGCAATAAATCTATACTATATTATAAATTGCAAATGTATGTCTGTCTGTCACTTTCTTACAACTAAACTGAATAGAGTCGTGGGTAAAATATAATATAGAGATAGGCAAAGGTATCTGTATATATGCTCATCGTTACCATATTTTTTTCAGAGAAAAAGAATGCTGAATCTGATGCTTCTACAGGTAATAACTAAAAATCGAATTCAGGTACTTTCTAGATGTTAGAATTTCTATTAATTTGAGTTAGCTACTAAAACTTAAATTGCAGGTGGTAGAATTTATCATTATGAACTAAATCCTATCTACATTCTATTGAAACTAATGTTCGAGTTAACATATAGCTTCTAGGGGGAAATGCCTAAATTTAATTGCCTAAATAATTTTTAGAGTTTATTTAATTTTGTAAATAATCCTGAATAATGTTTAGACATATATATATATTTCAGTTTGTTGTTGTCCAATTTTATTAGTTTGTAATCTTGTTATTGTCAATTTTTATGTTTACTTTGTTAGTAGTAATTTAGAACTTAACGTGCTATCGCCGTCGTCGATCTTTTATCGTATTAATTTACTGGTAAAGGCTATAACAGAATAGCAGAGAGGGTGGACTCACTGCCCTCACTGGGTTATAGACCGTTTTGTCTCCTTCATTACTTTTAAATTTTAATATTGTATTAGCTATTTCGGCTTCGCCCTGGTGTACATGTATTATATATATAAACCTTCCTCTAGAATAACTGTCTATTAAAAAAAAACCGCTTCAAAATCCGTTGCGTAGTTTTAAAGATTGAAGCATACATAAATAAAATCCTTACTAAACTGCATGTTCAAAAAACTAGTAGTTAATTTCATTAGAATATACTTCAGGCTTTGTTTTTCGAAATAGACTTTAATTTTTTTGTGTGTATATTCAATAACTACTTACACAAAATATTTTATTCGTAATTGTCTTATCTTCAGTAATTTATAACGCATAACCATCTAGCAGAAAAAATAATAGAAAAAAATAAAAAAATATTATTTAGATATCTCCGACTCGCTGCCAAGATACAGAAGATGTTTGATGGACTTTTTGAGTGAGTAACACTGTACTCCTTGAATATGAAGTCTATGGCCTTCTACAGAAAGTCTTGCCGACGATCTATCTACTTTCTACATGCTACTCTGTGCTTGCCTCTATGCTTGATTTCTATATGATCCTCAAAGGCTATCCTTTTTAATCTATACAGCATTAAATCCATAGTTTTGAAAAATGAAATATGCGTGTATCCCCATAGCATCTATCATGTAATGTGTATCCCCATAGCATCTATTAATTCCTTACAACTCGTTTAAGGCCGTCGCTCGAGTATATGGTATAATGTGACATATTTTCTAATATTTGTTACTTAGTTACTTTTCGTGCTGGCGACTAATTTTCTACTTTTTATAGACATACTTATTAACATTCTATTTTCAAAATACAAACAGCACAGCAGCATCCTCGTTTATTATCTATACACGCATCACGACCTAACTCTATAGAATCTCGTCATTAAAAATAAGTAAATACCTTTTTGCTTGTTACAGCAACACCACCAACGCAAAAATTACCACCGCTAGGTTCAGGCAAAAATTTAGTCAATAAGGGAATTGACACTGGAGCAGAAGCAGTCAAGACAGTGTTCAAGGCTTTCACAGGAGGTAGGTATTCACCTATACCATATATTTATATACAGAACTATCACGGTATGACGGTCACTATGACGATCTCCTCTGTCTTACATACTTCTGCCGCCAAACAGCTTGCTTTGTAAGTGTATCAGCTAAAGGGCATATGGCACAGTTACCCGACTGACGACCCGATGACCTTCTATAGAGCTGTTCATGCAAATAGACGACAAATGCCACTGACCATTAGACAGATTTTCACTTTCTTGATGAAAATATTTCAATCTCAAGAGTCATTTGGCTTGGTAGTTGTTACTATTATTACAAATAAAAAATATTGAGAATATGTGAACCTCAATATTTATCGGGGTAGAAATTACCCTATCTTTTTATTTGGACCAAATTCCAAAAATCCCCGTCATAGAACGTAACGAGTGATTCTTAAGCACAAGTATAGAAGATATACTAAGATAACGATATAGCCACATTTCGATTCTGAATAATTGCAACTGTAATCATTGTCCGAATTGGAAATAGACAACTGTCTACTCTCGTATTGTTCTCAAATCATTCAACTGTAATTTCTGTGAAACGTATGTTACATAAGGTAATATGACATCAGGGTCGACAATAATACAATGAGAAATAGTCAATTGCAGGGTGATATCTATATATTACAATGAATGTTCAGTTATTGGTCGTTTGCAAACACTTTGGAATTTTATCATTTTAATATTGTTGCAGGTTTATTCTAAATACCCCGGAATGACGATGATTATATAACTCACCGAAAATAACTTAATTACATTCTGCAATAAAAAACAATAACATCCCAAAATAATCAATTGGAGATTAATAGTAAAATAAATATACTTGCCTGGAACATTTAACTTGAAATTATAACGGTTATAAATTATTCTATCTTTGAGCCAAAAATCACGTATTGCAATAAAAATCTGTAGCAAAACACTATTTGTTTCATTTAATAGATAATTTATATAAAGTAGGTAAGTACACTGTTCGTTTACATTGTGAAAGGTGTCTTCTTTTACTCCTCTGGTTTGCACTCATTTGCATTACTAGGACCTGAAAAGTTATCAATATAATTAGAATTACAAAAAAATACTAAAATATAATTAGATTACATTTAAATGCAATTTCAACTCATAAAACGTATTATGTCTGTCCAACATAATAATTTATGCTTATAATTTTTAAATCTTGATATAAACAGTCACATAGATTCACTTTTCATTACACATAATGTATAAATAATTAACACCTGTATTAAAGTCGTCGTTAGCTACTGAGTAAATTTAAGTATTAAAACGAAAGAAATGTTCTGAAATAATTATCATCTTTACATAATATATATATGTCATGGAAGTTTATTAATGTGTAGGTAATGTATCTACTAGTTACAGCAATTTTCATATAGTTTTTTTTAGAAAGTTCGCATGGACAGTATTAAAGATCAGATACAAAGTATTTTATTATATATAGGGGAAAGGTGTACTAATTGATCTCTTTATGTAGATAAGATGATGCATTTGAATTGCGTGATGCTATTAACGAAATCTAGAAAAATGTTTTTTAAAACATATATACCTTCGCACATGCTTGTATCAATCAATCCGAAATAACGATATGACTTCCATATACGTTGTTGCGTGAAAAAGAAAAAGGCGATTGATGTAAGGGAAGATTATATTTCATCTTAGAAAACTTTTGTTGTAGACTCTTACTAGAAATTAATAAAAATATCTACAAAAAATATACTGTTAGAGAAATTATAGAAAAAAAAAACAAGAAACCAAAATAATAATCTTGTCAATACCATGGGGATCATCATGACCCAGACGTCCAAGATGATCCTTAGGTAAATATTATAATAAAACTGCAATCGACTCAAAATTTGAGTTGAAATGTAATATAAATAAAGACCCTAACGGTAAATGCTTATATATTAAATTCAATAATAAAAAAATTAATGGAATTTAATTTAATTATATATTAAATTAAATTACATACAATTAATAATATGCATTTCCATTTTCTTATGAGATCATCTTGTACACCTTACACCCCTAACGTTCAAAAGGGCTAAGTTCGATATTTATATTTCATTAAGGGCCTGTCCCTTAATGAAATATAAATAAAATTGGTGTGCAGGCACGACCTATATTTTTAGAGCTGTAAATAGAATTCTTCTTATCTTATTTACATACAAACGTCATATCTCTGAAAATATCTCTCTCTAAATATTGCATTTATAATGTTGTTACCTAAGCAGAAACTCTTTGATTTGAAATGTCTTCTTAAAAATACCTATAAAAGTGCGTATATGTAAAAACAGTCATACACTGACTAACCACGGCGTTAATCACACACCTTGTGCCGACGTCGGTAGTCAAGTTATATAGCACACCGACTCACATGCAATGATTGCGGGTTCAATCCCTCACTTAATACAAACAGTTGTATTTTTGAGTATGATTGATACAGTTATTTATTTTTATCGGCTGTTTAGTTAGTTTCTGTCAGTTATTAGTCCAATCGTACAATCTCTGCTGAGTTTGGTATGGATGGCACTGTTTGAACTGTCCTGGGTTACTCTAGCCTCTCATATTTTCTACTTATTTATTAAAGGTACATTATGTTAAAAGAAATGTTGAAACGTACTCACATATGCATAGATTGTATCACAATTTTACATAGAATAGAATCAAACTATTTAAAAATACTGGTATATTAAGCGCAAAATAAACCACTCTATTCACAAAAATTTCCAACGTTCAATTTAGTTACAAGTGATTGGTCTCTTCCTTAGAGCAAATACATTGAAAATTGGTTTATGGGAGAATTTGTTTTATATTACTGTAATAATATAGCAACGAAATATTGTCATAATAACATTTTTAATAAAATAAATAATTAAATAGTGACATTTAATTATAAAAAATGGCAATAATTTCTTATATAATATATTCTCATATATGCTCATATTACAGATCACGATTTGAACCCAAAAGTATTCTTGTTTTGTCTCATCATTTCATCTGACACATTCTGTCAACTTGCTGACTTATGAGTAAAGTTGTTGTTGTGCTATGTTATTAATCTAAGAGTATCTTATATGATGTAAATAAATAAATGTTCTATCTACATTCTAAAATAAGGAATAAGAAGAACTTGTAGGAGCTTTTGTATCGCTGCAGATCTTATTTCTAAAAGGGTAGGTTTCCTTTGAAAATTAATATAAAAATTACTATGTATGTGTAAGGTTATTAATAATATAAATTTAAAATAATATGAGTATTCTTTACGTTACATGTAGTGTACATACAATTATACACATATTTGAGCATAATACATACATTGAGCATTTTCTAATAGCAGGCATTCCTGTAACCTGTTATAGTATTTTAAATATAAAATAAATTACAAAGTTTGTATTAAATATGGTACAAAGACAGAAAAAAAACATGTTTTTATTGAATCAAATATGGTAGAAAATACACGGAAATTTTACAGTTAAACAAAGTATTTTTATTCCTTTTGACCTTATTCAAATCTTATTTGGATTCAGATTTTTTTATACCGAATTCAACTAGCCTACTAAGTACACTGTACGTATCTTTAATAAATAATCATTAATGTCCCCATGTGGAAATTATCTATAGACCTGACATTATACAAGCAGTAAAATTATTATACACTTAGTACACTGTTAGCATTTCTGAAGTATTTATTTGTTAAATAAATACAATATAAATAAGCATTGAATTATTACAATAACAAAGTGACTAATGGCATTATAACTTAATAAAGACAGTATATGTAGTGTATCAATTTATCGCTATTAATTGCATTTCTACGTATCGCACGAAAGAAATATCGTTATGATTTGGCCAAATAAACTATTCCTTGTACAGATATACTTACAACTATATTTAATAATTCTTTTATGGACCGAGCGTCATTAAGTCCAATTTCTTTTCACGGGTGTATTGACGTTTAACGTATCGTGCCCTATATTTCGGCTATAAGTAATAATTTTTTTTCTTTATATATTTCCCATGCTATTTGAAATTTCAGATTAAATCTATAGCATTACATGGCACCGATGATGTAGATCTGAGTGCTACAGGTTACCATCTAAAATTATTTTATATGAAGAATAATGGGACGCTCAAATAACAACAAACACAATGTTTTCTTTGCCACTTATATGCTAATTATTCGATTTTATAAAAAGAACATGTATTTATAACATACATAAAAGAACATGTACCTATGTATATTGTATATGTAATAATATACTCTATTTTGTTTTATTACCTATTTAGATTTCATATAATTATTATTTGCACTTCTGTGACCTACACACCACTTCCTGTCTCACGCTGTTATAAGATTGACTGAAAGAGATCTCTTTTAGAGATAATTCCTCCTTTACTAACCATACATCCAATATTTAAAACTGCAATAAAGAACAAATTTATGAACAAATACATAAATTTTGTTTATTTACCTATATATGCTCACTTACGTGATGGAAGATAACTTGCGCTTATATACATACGGGTCAAATAATAGATACCAATTATAAACTTTTCTTCGCTTTCAAAACAGTGGTAAAATTAATAAAGGATAATAGTAAGAAATAGAAACATAGCACATACTAGCTAATGCTAAAATATAATTTAAAGAGTCAATGTAACAAGAACGTACGAAATGTTACATTACAAATTAGTTGAGAATAAAGCCGTCAAGCAATATTATGTCTTCGTTACAATGATACATGAATTAAATAACAACTTGTGAATGAAATTTTTAGATGAATTTATTTAAATTTCAATTATTACTAATTATTAATAAAAAACAAATACTGAATGTTCAAATTTTATGCTAGTATTTTAGCTATGACAATTGTTACTTTGAGTTATTAAATGTACAACCTAGGCATAATCATAAAAATAATAGAAAGTTCTCAAAAATTAAGAATGATGATAATGCTAATTTATTAAATCATGACTAAATTGCCAAAGGTTAAAAATAAAAATAATAAAAAGCATCGGGAGTGTAATTATGTGATTTCAGGATTGTTGTTTATTTTTATACTCCAATATTTCATAACCAATGAAAATATTTTTTTTATTCGGCTGTAAAATTTGTGTTGAGTTTATTACAAAATTGGAGGATAAAAATCATGGACACAATTTATTTAAAGAGATTTTAGCAGACAAACTACTACAGACACACGATGTAGGCCCATACCGATACACCACCATTTCAAACGTAAATTTTTAATAACACAACAAATGGATATACCGTGAATAAAACAAAAAAGGTGAAACAACTCTTCCGTCAAATTGTTTGTTGTACTATACTTTGCAGACTATAAGTTACTAATACATGAGTTACTCAAGACAAAAATGGAGAATCATCGATTTACCTACATTCTTTGTGTATGATAATCGATAGCTAGAAAATAATGATGAAAAGAATACGAGCTGAGTTTCTTGTCAGTTCTTCTCATCTCGAAATTATTCCAAACTGACAATAGATTTGACATATCATAAGAGTCTGTAATAGACCTTTATTTTGAATTTGAATTTGAATTAGTGATAAGTTAAAGTAACAGTAAAATATGTTTTTCTAATAATTACTTTATAAGTGCGTTTATTGTCTGGTGTATCCTAGTGTCCGAAAACAGCGGCATGTATAATTAAATAAAACTATATTAATGTGAACATATCATTTCATTATATTATTTTAATATCAAAAGAAGACGGAAGAGCTGAAATAAGTCTATAACAGTGTTAACACTAGAAAACATGTCACAAGCCCAATGGAAACCCAATAAATTAATGGTTTCTTGATTGTAATACAACACAAATCCAAGTAGGAAAATAATGCAACATTAAATAAGCACAGCTTTTCTATCACCTCGCATATTATAATGTGCACTTGATACAGTAGCACTAGTGCCATTTAGTTTACCGATATCTTGGTTCCCTTGATTTCTGTCGCCGTCGCGTGTTAGAACTCTCTTGTCTTTGGACATTAGCGCAACCTACAACCAATGATGCACCTTTAATGGAAATCACTACAATATCACATATAAGTAGAATAATATAAAGAAAAATCGTAAACACTTGTAGTTATGAATGTAATATTATCTTGTTACGCTATGTTACGTAGTTGTTAATTAAATTATGAGATTTGAAACATTGATTATTTTCTGTTGTTTGGTATGTTTGTCTTGTCATATCCATGTTGTTATTCATATCAATAGTCGGCGGTGGTACCGTTCACCAGACAGGCCGTAAACTTGCTTACCATTCCAAGCTGTCTTAATATAGAATCGTCGTTCGAATAAAGGGAAGATTTCGCTTTACATGGATTATAAGTATATAGGAAAGGTGAGCAGCGATTACTACATAATCAGATATCTTTGAGCGTATTATACTTACAGCATCATCGATGGCTTTAAACTGCCAGTTCCAATGTACACGATATAGGAACGGCCGATGGTCATAGCGATTGTCATCCGGACTGTACGTTTCTGCGTGGTACGAGGGCGTCAGTACTGTCATCTTGTGCCGATTTATCGCGTAACAACGGAAGAAATGCTTCACTTTCTCGGCCACCTGTAATAATATCAATGTAGTTATTTACATTTATTATGACACATCTTTATGAATAATAACTATAAATATTAGCTTGTGTGTCGTGCGTGTATTAGGGTTGTCTTGAAAAATATTGCGCTCGGACTCAACTTAAAAGTCTATGTTCATTTGTTTATCTATGAAATAATATATTACTGTAATACTGGTCTACTGTAATAGAATAAATGAAGATATTGTTAACAAACAACGTGATCAACATTTTTAATATGGCATAGCCACAATATTTGAATACTGATTTAGAATTAAAAACGTCGAGGAAAACATGGAAATTAAGGATCTTATAAACAAAATATTTAAAGAGTCACACCCGTTATACATAGAAAGATGTCACAAATCTTTTTGAAATCTTCCCATTTTGTACGTTTCGTACTTATATTTAAAACTAAAAATCTTAATTTTTAAATTTAGCATAACGTAAAAAATTAAAGACGATATATACAATGATAACAAATACCTCTTGCGGAGTACATTTATCACTCCATCTGTGCACCAACTTTTGGAACATGCTAAAAGGCCCACAGTGCTGAGACTTCCTTAGCCGACCAAACTCTGACAGTTCAGCGTAAGTCATGCCCATATCTTGTTCGTCTGTTTGTACAATCTGGCCGTCTGTTAACGGCTCTAGTTCGGCGGTGGGTGGTGCTTGTAAGATTTCCGACAGCGACGGTAAGAAGAACCTGAATAGTTTTTACATCACGTACAAATACTATAGAGAAAGCGATAGACTTACGAATATCGTTTAAAGATACATAAATCATATATTACGTTACTATATACAAAAATCTCAATTTTATAAGAACCCGCGAAGCCTAGCACTAGCAGTTATATAAAATGTGACTTTTTATTGTTATAGTGATTATAATTCTATATATTATATATACATTAGGAAGATTACTGAAACCTGATGAATGAAACTAATACCTGAAAATTGATTTTACGCGATTCACCAGTATTGAGATATTTATTAAGTATATATGTTAACTAAAACTAAATAACTCTTCAGAGATATCTAACATACCGAATTATTCGTAGTATCAGCTACTATTAAAAGTACTTACCGATTCTTAGCATACTGCAAGAAAGCCTTAAGATCAGTCTTTGATATCCCACCAATGGGATTCACATCTGCACTAGAGCAATCGTATTTAGTCATGTAGCCTCTAAGTGCTTCATCCACGTTGGATGAGCCCAATACTAAAAGACCTCCGGGCCGGCCTCGTGCCCAAAGCATTAGTTGAGCGAATAAGTATGATAACACCATTCTTAGACGGGCCTGCAGATATGGGACATATGTTATTGGATAGTAAACAGTAATTTTGATTATTTTTAATGATTTCTAAAAGACGCACTAAACGAGTTCTTAAAATGATTACTTCTTCAATAGACGCAGTCAAATAATATATACATATAGTGAGTGCAATAACAACCACGAAAAACTTAAATCAATTATCTAGCTTACTTGTATATTTTGTAAGGCCAAATTTTGTCTAGCACATCCGCCTTTGGTTCTGAACTTAGGTACGAGCCCAGTAGCAGCTGTGAAGATGCCAATCACAGAGCTCACCGCAGCGTCGATCGCGATCGGAAAGTGATAACTGCCGATTTCACTTGCTAACTGAAATTTATTTTTGTTACACATGTATTAAGAGTCCTATAATAGTATATCACGATATAAGTGCGTTATGATGGTTATAACACGCGAGGCGGAAATAACCATCATAACGCACTTATATCACTTATATCAGTGTGCAACGCACGTATATCGTACGTATAACACACTTGATTTAAAATAAACTCAACTATAAAACTGTGACGCACACTTTTGCTTTTCCGCCATTTTACTTTTTTTCATCAGCGCGCTGCCTACTGGCAGGCGCCACGCAGTAGTCATTCGAAATTTGATAAAAAAAATAACAAATAGTGCAGTTTATAACTTCACAATGTGCGAAATGAAATAATATATTCTATCAGTTCGTTAGTACCCATAACACAAGCTTGGGACTGGATGACGCTGCGTGAATTGGCCTAAAATTATTTATATATATTACTAGCTGTCCCAGCAAACGTTGTTTAGCCTTAAAATAAAAAAAAATTTTTGGCGTGCCTACCCCTAACATTTAGGGGGATGAAAAATAGATGTTCAATACGCTCACAAAATTTCATGAGAATCGGTCAAGCCGTTTCGGAGGAGTATGGGAACGAAAACTGTGTCACGAGAATTTTATATATATTATTACATATATTATATCTTCTCAAAATACTAAACTTGTAAAAGCCACAGAAGATGCTGTTACGACTTCATATAGTGAAACAAGGACCATTCAGAGACATTGATGATTTTGTACATGTACAGTACATAAATCTTTGTGTATATTTATTTATTTATTTATTTATTAAAACTTTAATGCACAAATACATAAATAAAGGTGATTTTCCCGTAAAGGAGTAGATAAACAGCATATTCGTATTATTCATACCTGCAAAGCCCTCTGTTTAGTCTCTTGGCTAGAATTTTCCGAAGCCATGTAACAAGTCACTAAGAGCCTATTGCACAACTCCATAGGATCCGAAGGCGTGTAGTCAGATTGACAAAGAATCTTGCGTACATCATACAAAACTTGGCTTTCTGCAAATTTAATGAAATTGGTTACGATTTATATATTAGAACAAAGTGCCGTATTTTTTACTAAGTCGACTTAGATCTATGGTAAGGTTAAGAGGTTGTGAAGTTCGAATCTAGCCGATAATAACTATCTTTTGGTATCAATTTATATTTCTGGTAAACAAACTTAATTAACCCGAAAAATGGCAAAATGTCATTTTGAATCAAAATATAGCCAGCAAAATGTGAAGATTGTGTTCAACACAAGTCGACAGTTAACATCTGACTACTCCATCTAGGATAGCAATATTGCAAGTACATTATTATGTAACTAAACCGTTTATACCAGATGTCTTTTTTTATTCAAAAGCTACGCAATACATAATAAATCAAAGTAAAACTTTGAACATTTTATATATATTAAAACAAGTCACAGCCTATGTTACTCTGAAATAAGCTACTGTTCAAACTTTATAAAAGTTTCCCAAACTGGTACAGTTGTGATGACGAATTTTAGAAGACCTAACTGAGTTTAGTTAGTTCTTCCAAAATTCGGCATCTCTCTTTATATAACACTAGCTGTTCCCGCGACTACGTCCTTGTGGAATTTAACTTTATTTTTTTACAATAAAAGTAGCCTAAGTTACTCATTATATCAGCTACCTGCAAAAAAAAGTCCCGTCAATATGGATCAAGTCATTTCAGAGATTAGTCGGAACAAACAGACCGACAGACAGACAGATAAAAATTGTAAAAAGTAGTTTTTTGGTGTATGTACCGTATTTATATTCATAGGCATGTAGTAAAAAACGGTTATTTCAATATTACAAACAGACTCTCCAATCTTATTTATATGTATAGATTAGTATAGATTTACCTCCTTTTTGGATTGATTCACATATTTGCGTACACATAGAAAACACAATGCAAGCGGTGCTCGTAGAATCCACGCCACCACTGAGTGGCAAAAAGAACCCGCCCTGGCCGGATCTTCTCAAGTAGTCCCATAGCCAACACGCCGGGCCTAATAAACACAACCATACTAGCAAAAAAATTGAACTATATTCTATCGATAACAGCTTGCGGTTTTATTCGCATGACTGGGATATATTCATTGATTTACATAAAATGTAGCGAAGTCCTTGTTTGTCCTAAATTTTATGATAACTGATTTCGCAATAAAAGTGCAAAAAAGTAATCAAAAAATTGCCTACAACTTCGCATGGTTTTTTGAGTCAAAATATAGTCCATATACTCATCATAAAATCCAGACAGACATACTTTAGCATTTGTAATATTATTATGCGTTAATACAGATTAAAGCATATGTAATTCCACAATATTAATTTGAGGTTAGATTTATAAAATTTAAAATACAGTAAAAAGTACTACTGGAGTACTAGTACTTTTTACTGTATTTTAAATACAACTGTGGGCCCAAACTTATTATCTATTTTTAGGTACTCAATTGAGTGCTCTCAAACCTTTCGTAGTTGTTATTTTAACACACAAATATCTGTTTTATTTTTACCAAGGATGCCGAGTTAGACACTAAACACAGGTTATTAATTAACCTATCTTAGAAGCCAGTTTATTTATCCTCTTTATTGTTTGTATATTTATATATAAATACTATTTTAAACAAATTGTACCTGTACAGTAACTTTTGGACCATACACATATTTCATTTCAAACTTTCATCAAAAGGGGCTTCTGGGCCACGGTGGAGGAGTTTACTGAGTCATATCATTTTATTCTGATTATATATAATAAATACATATTAAAGAAACTTGAAGGGGAAAAAGGGGATTAAAATGTATTCTCTCTATAGATAACTAGTAAAATAAATATATAAACATACAAAATGTAATTGAAACTGCTTTTCAAACAATAATTTAAAAAGAAAGAGAAATCACGATACAATCGTTTAAACAGTGGTGTGCAAGTAAATCGGTGATTATTCAACAATACAATAGATACATACCCAACTCTATTTCTTCCTCGGGAGTCAAATATTTCCAGTCTATAGGCGGGTTGGCGATCAGGTGAACATCATCATCATCAGACAAGGAGAAGTCGACAGTAATACGAGGGAATGGTGTGTTAGACGCTGCTAAATGTGACCGAGAACGTATTTGAGTCCGATATGACCGTATATCCTCTAAATCTATAATAGCTGTTATAACTTCCTGTAAATAACCGAAGCATTATTTAACCATCCTATAGCCGCTTCAAATAATGTAACACTTGTATACTCGCACAGGATCTGTGACACCGAGATTCCTATGTCGATTTTAGCAAGATTTCAGTTAATAAAATTATGTTTATGTAAGATTAAAATGTATTTAAACAAATCAAATAAGTAAAAGTATAACATTGTAAGTAAAAATAATAAGCCAAACGTAAATCGTCGGTCTTACAGACCAATACGCAGTTTTAGGAATGTTAAAAATATACATTATTTTATTTTAATATATGCAACACTCAGCCTCTTTTTATAATTAAATAAAAACTCTTGTTTAATATGAGAATATTCTCAGAGAAATATATGTAAGTGTGTTGAGATTACCACAAGTCGATAGTTACAGTAACAACTGTGACTCGACACTAATGTCTACAATAAAAAATACATTTATACTTTTACACACAAAATTGTGTACTCCATTGCCATCAGACATTAACTCCTTTATTTAATGCCTGATGCCATTATCTACCAGTTAACCGTCCTGCTAACTGAAATAATAATGGATATTAAGATATAAATACAAATAACATTATGTAGATTCAATTATATAAATGTTACACACCACATCGTGCAATGCGAACTGTAGTCCCCTGCTGACAATTTCACCATTAACCGCTACACACGAACATCCATTGAAGTATATTCTCTGTCCGTCACAACCTCTCAAATTGCTAAACAAATATGCGCCCCCACTTTTAAATGTGGCACTTTTCACTAGATCCACCGTCACGTAGGCTTTGCGAAGTTCCATATAACTACCAGAACCGTTAGATATAATTTCGACGCCATCAAGACTTAATGGTATATGGCGGCTGAAACACAAGTACAAAATTTAAGAAGTTAATACGAATATCGTTTGATTCACCTACTATTTAGTAATTATTACATTTTCTGATTTCAATGAATAATATCGTAATTAAAAATATAAATTCAAATATAAACAAGTTGCATTTTTTTCCCTCCCATCAACAATTCAGATGAGGTTACAAATTGAACATTTTTTTATTTATATATCTGAATTAACATACAGTTTCAATGATGATAATATACACACATTTGGGTTGTGAAAATAACAACGATCTTAACAAAATATATCTTTTTAATTACTCATAACCAAGAATTAAAATAATTTATAAGTATATAGTATAACTGAATTATTTTTCGTTCAAAATCGTATTTAATATTGCACATATTTCACCTTTGTGGATTCCATAGTTCTTCGCATATTTCGAAGCCTATACAAGTATCTTTAGTCGAAATAACAGCGTCACCAATGGGCACTGTAGTCTGATTTGTGATAGCAGTTATCATTCTTGGCAAAAAATAGTCTTCTACTTGTCGTTCCTAACAAAAGAATACACAAGTACTAAAATCAATTTTATTATTTCATAACAATCTTGTAGAGATTGTTATGAAATTAAAATGTTTAAAATTTAAAAGTTCTTATTGTTTAAAGAGCACTTACTTTGGTCCAACAGGAAAACCACCTGCTTTCTCTATAATTTCCATCCTCACACAGTAACATCTTTGGTCTGATAAGCAATATTTTCTTGTTTAAAAAGGCAACCCGGCAGTTGTACGTGACATTCCTATGCTGGATTGGCATACCCACATCTATAAGCATATCTTTGCATGTTGCAGATTTAAGCAGCTCTCCAAGCACCTGCCAACTGTGAAGGTAGGTGTCGGATTCGTGGAAATGATCCTCACAGCTGTAACCACTGCAACAGAAAGGATTCTGGATCATAATCATCACAAAGGATAGTACGAATAATCATGTTTATCCAATGTCTAGAAAGAATGTCGTGGACTAGTGGTCACCCCGACTTACGCTGGAAGGTCGCGAATTGGCTCGACACAGAATACTTTGTCAATTATTATTTCACACTGACGCTTCGGCCATGGAACGCCAAAATAAAAAAGTCCGAGACTCGGTAGTAGGCTCCCCATTTGTCAATCAAATATGCCGATGTCACAGCATCTACATTGTTAATGCCGAATGACACGAAATATCCCATTAATGATAGAAGTCATGAAAGTATTTTGTACTTATGTAAACAGGTTTGTAGAAAATTGAATCAGACATAGGCCACAGACCCTAATGAGGCCGAGATTCCAATTAGTTTAAAAGAAAAAATTCTGGCTTTTATAGAGAAATTATTAAAAGAGTATTACAGTTGTATCCGCAGAAAATTCAATTGTATAGTAGAAAAATATAAACACAATATTAATAACCATATCTCTAATTCCGGCCCTGTACGATAAAGGGCGCCCATTTCTTTAGCCTCTTGTATAGATTGCAGGATTCTACTCAGGTTCCCCTCGAAGTCCAACGCCCACTGATTTAAGGTACATACTGCTACTGTGACTTTTCGTCCCATGATTACAGATATTTTTTACTGAAAAAAAAAAATACGTTAAGTATATAACTTTATAATAAAAAAGAGAGAATATGGAATCACGGGGAAAATAAAGCCGCAGTTTATAAGAGTTCTAATAAACTGCATATATGGCAGTTGTATACATACACAAAAAAAAACATTAATTTTTAATAACAAAATTATTTGAAAATGATCCAGCCAGGCAGTATTTCCATATTATCCCAACAAAGCATACCGCCTAAAAATAACACGTCCTGTACACACAAGCGGTATTTATCTTGAAAACTGTTGACATTCTCCACTGAAACAGGCTGTAATTGGAGTGACATTAATCTACGAGTGATTAATTATGGATTTGTTATCGCTATACGTCGAGCGATCTAATTTGCTGCAACAAATATGTAGGTTACAAATAATGTCAACTGGATACCACGTGTCTAGAAATTTATTAAGCTTTATTCATTATTGAAATAACACTTCGCTACTTTAGGGAAGAAGGGAATTGTTAATAATGTACATTAATAACCCCGCTGTTAGCATTAAAAGGTCAACATTGACCGTTGATAATACATATAGTACATATGTATTTGCGACGTCTATTGATATCCATATCAGTAGCATTCTTGTGCTTCAACAATTCACCAAATTAGCCATAGACATATATTTTTCATTTTCATTATAAGGTATACCTACTTGCTGCATCGATCAGTTAACATATATTTAACGTACATTTTGTTACGTATTAATATACAACATATATATTATACAACCAACATAAGTTTTTGTAACTATTCCATAATATTTCCAATGTATTACAATGAATATTGGTATGGGTTAAACCACAAATTAGAATAATATCGACTACATAAATGGGGTTAAATCTTAATAAAATTATAAACGCGAAAGTTTGTGAGTATGGATGTTTGTTAGTTTTTCACGCAAAAACAACGGAACGGGTTTAACTTTACAGTAATATAGCATAGGCATCAGAATAACATATATAGCCTATATATATTTTTATTGAAATTTAACGCGGAACTGCGGTTTCACGCAGGGATAGTTAGTAATAAATAAACATGTCTATGAAACTTGGTTATTTGTATAGAATTGGGTGGATTCTATCACCTAATTCTATAAAACTATAAGATATATACTTCATATATCAAAAATTAGGAATAACATAGCTTCAAAGCTTTTGAATGAAAAATAGTCGCGCGCGTAACCGCGGCGGGTAAGCTAACAAAAAGTAGATAAATTAAGCAATAGTTTACGCGCAGTTACATAAAAGTCTACTGATGAGTGACAATACACTATAAGAATAGCTGTCTGGTGGAAATCGATCCGCGCCATTAGGTACCAAGGCACGGCCAATAACCTCACAATCCTTACCCACCACGTAGTTCACGCATATATATTGGGACAGGCCTTTTTGCAATGACGATACGTGAGCAAAAACGATTGGTAAATAGGACATAATTTTAATAATGATAAATCCATATTAAAAGTCAAAGAGTAAGGAAAATAGCAGGAGACTGTACACGTCAATATAGGTAGGAATCTGTTTTTTACTTCAAAAATGAGATTCTAAAGTTAACAAATATTATTCTAATTAAGATCGCGAATCATATAGTTCTTAAAAATTCTATATAAGATATGCGATGAGATGGACCCCGCGTTTATGAAACTCCTGGTTGTATCTAACACTAGATATTCCAAGTTTTAGGTAATCAAAATGGATCAACCCTCAGAAGGTCTATGTAAAATAGTAATAATTCAAATGTGAAGATATACTGAACGCAAAATAAGAACATCAATAATTACTATAGATTAAAACAATTCATATATACGAACTACAAAGAATTAAGTTATGCAACATTCAGTACAGTAAATAGTGACCATGTATTGAAAACTATGTATTGTAGACATTTACGTAATGGTAAAGGAAGTATCTCAGTTGAATGACACAAATATTGGAACAAATAAAAAGCACTGCGAAAATGTATACTTTATGCGTTGATATCTAACGAATTATTCATAATACCTTTGTCAGATGATGAGTCAAATTATGACGATGAAGAATACCCGACTCACTTCGAATTCCAAGATATTGGTGACTAGTGAACGGAATCGATTTCACCGTTACCGTAGCAACCCTTTCATTGGACATTAACTGTATTACACTGTTGTTTCATTCCACTTCCTTTCATTCTTTATGTCTAGGAATATAAAGTAAGAAGTAGCATGACTCAAAATTCTTAAGCTCGTATTTTGTAATATGTACGAGTACGATAAAATTCTGCATGAGTATTAGACTTTTGAGGAATAATGACACTTGTTCTTCACTGTACTTAAACAGAAGATGTAGCGCCACAGTTCGTAAATTCAGTACTTTACATAAATTATTTACCACATTCAAAAGAAATAGATTTAAAAAAATACAATGCTCTTGTAGAAATATAATTAGTGATTTTAGAAAAATATAATATATTGTTTTTAACAACGATTAATGATGTGATTAACTATTATCACACAAATACAAATAATAATGTCCCTGCATAGAAATTATTTGAATATTCACTTTATTGCAGCCGTATACGTGTAATTTCCGAATGATTAATGGCCATACCATAGACAAATAATAAAACAGAGTCCCAGTATAAATTAATTTCCTTTGTATCGCGTAATGTATTAAAACTTACAGAATCTACATAACTCAATCAGCGAGTTCAAAATTCGTCATATGGCCAGCAGTGTATGACCATTGATGAAAAACAATATAAAATAATTGGACAATCTAGTAAAGTATTAGTTTTGTATGGCTTGGTTGTACTTAGGATAACGCAACTTTTTACCGTGTAGAGAGATAAGGATTTAAATTGTGTGATTTATTTAAATATATTTGAAGCTTGTTTATACCATATGCTTTATTGGAAAACAACATACTATATACGAGTAAGTATTACTTACTAGTGTGAGTAGTTATTTGTTATTAGCTTTAAAAAGATGTTGATTTATTGGCGTATCTACTTGTTTTATAGTTCTACGAAAAGATGAAACTTTTACGAGCATAAAAGGATTCAGTATTAAAGTTTCTACACCCAAGTTCCCCCACAAGTTTCCTCCATACTAGGCGAGAGTGCAGTCACCTTTCAGACTTTCTCGGGACTATAGTGTTACCTAAACCGTGATTTCACAAAGATAACCGTGAATGTTAAATTTAGATTTAAAATAAAAAAAATCTTATTTTAGAATATGTAAAATGTAAATATCTATTACAAAATGAATATACAGACACATCTACAAAACCAACTAAAATTACCATTGGAATGTTCGTTGTAAATTAATAAAATCATACAAATTGTGAGTAAAATCTACCTTTTCTACTTTTCATATATATTATTATTACAAATGGGTAAAGTACTTATAAGTATACAATGATAACGATATTTTTCATGAATCAGACGACATACACCTGGCACTGAAGCCAGTCGGCGAGCAGACTGGCCTAGACATACCTGAAAAGCTAGAACAGATACTACACAAAATAAGCTTTCAGTATCACGAAAGATAACAAAACCTTTATATGAAATTTATTAATAATATCAAAGATTGCAAAAACAAATACATGATAAAGTAAAATTTCGATATATAATAATTAAAGGCATGTCAAATAATACATCAGACGAAATTTCTGTGGAAAATGTTCATAATAATCTATTGGATGACCATCATAGAGGTATGTAATTATTAATTAATGATAGGAGTACAATATTTTCATACTTTTTATATATAAAAATGCATATTAGATCTCATAATGAAGTTTATGATCTAAAAGTTTTATTTCGCGAAAACAAACTGCGTCGCGTGACTACCGTGAATTTGATTATAGAAGTAATATCACTCTCCAGTCTACTTTTACGACTAACAAATTTCCATATTCCGTACAAGTACCCCGCTGACGTCATCAATCACCTGATAAAGTTCGATAGAAAGATCACACAATCGTCTTTCAATAACCGTGAATGTAATGTAGCCTTTTCGTCAGTTCATTTTGGGGCGCCGGCCGACCCGCCTGTTTTACGGTATCAAACCAAACAAATTTGTAGTCATGGTAACATTAAAGTTGGCATCTGAAACGCTAGATAGCACAACACAAACGGACTAAATTATGCAGGAAATTAGATACGAATGTTACTTACAAAACAATGCTAAGATGTTATGGTGGAAACAACTCGAAAGCGTCCAAGAAAACGTTATGATGATTGAAAGGGAAGAACAAAGGAAAAGAGAGTTCATCGACAATACAACAGTAACGTTGACGCTTCCCTCCATAGATCCTGTGCTACATGATAATTTATTGATAACTAATTTAGAGCATGTAAAAACATTGCAAGCTTCTTTATTTCCCATATATAACAGAGGTAAATTACAAAAATTGGTACACTACATAATTTTTTTATAAAAAAAACTTTAAATAATCTGGAAACAACCAATACTTTAAGTATATGTTACAATCTTAACTCATACATAACAATGACGTTCAGTTAAAATTATACAACCATCTTAACAATGTATTTGCAGTTTATATAATAACCAACAAAAGTAGCGTGCTTCTCAATAATATTTAAAATCAAGGTTTCCGAAAATAAACGTAGATACTATTTGCAAAACTAGGTCAATAGTATAAAGATAAACATGCTAAGTGTAATATTTTTGCTTGATTACAAAGGATCTCTCTTTACGACAGGAACATTTATATCAAATTTTCTTCAAAATAACATTAAAACTAATCAACTAGAAATTAACACTGATATAAGAACATTTCGAACCACTGCGAAACTCAGAGAACCACGAGATTTATTTGCACTTCCAAAGGAACTTGATTGTCCCCAACAAGCACCGCGATGGCCATCAGAATGTCAAGTACGTAATAAATATATACGTAGTACTAGAAGTGTAGTAGTTAGTACTAATAAACCGAACTGTATAATCAACAACTACTTACTCAATGTATTTATTTACGAGAACGTAGAACAGTTAATACTAGGCTTCCAAACTCTACATTGCCTAATAATAGCTTGTTAGCACGACCTCGATGGTCTAGCGATCTAGCACACCGCTTTACGTCCGATGGTCGCGGGTTCGATTCCTCGCAAGGCACAAACATTTGCATTCATGAGAATGATTGTTTGTGTCAGTCTGGGTGTTTTCTATATATATTATGTAAGTATTTACGAAAACAAAATCTATGTATTTGTATCAGTTATATAGTACCCATAACACAAGCTTTAGCTAGCTTAACATGAGTCTAAATGGCGCTGTATGAATTGTCCTGAGGTTATTATTACTATTATAAAACACGTTTCGCAATATGGGTGTAGATTCAATAATGACAGAATTCGATCACTAATGGGGAAGATCGTAACGCTTCCGGTAGCTGTGGTCAGGTTTACACACTGATTGTTTGTAGTCTCGCACATGCTAATGGAAGCGGAATTGTATGAAATAATATAAATCCATGGAGTAATGAAATGGACTTCCGCAAAGTAACTAAGTCTCTGTTGCGTTTTCAAAAGTAAAATATATCATAACAAAGTTGGATAAAAACTAGTAAAGCTTTTTCTTTTTTCTTCATATCTGAAAATTATACAAAGAAATATTTTCACTTTAACGAATCATGATTAACCTCTATGCTATACTAGGACTTACTAAGTCCCAGTTGAGCATAAGGCTTAACACTAATTGGTTGGTGCATCGATTACGTGTAGTATTAATCAACGCTATTAAACTTGCACAAGGTGGTTGAAGAAAGGATACAACATACATCATGGAATCCAGCAACACCAGAGCCTTACTACACACCAACTGGAAAGGAATTGAGACCCCAACCAGTTGGGGAAGATGCTGGAACGGTTATCTTTCAATATTACCCGATGAGTGCGGTCAATTATGTGAGGAAATTGGAATACCTAAATATGTTTATATAATTTTAAAACATTGTTTTAATTATTAACGTTAAGGATATTTTTAGTTCAGTCGTTCCACTGTTGGTGGTTCTCGGCTATATTTATCAGCATGTGCAACTGCTAGTGGAGATGATGAACTAAGATTTGAATCTCGATTTGAAAGTGGAAATCTAGCAAAAGCAATACGCATCACCTCAGAATATTACGAATTACATCTTCGGACAGATCTATATACTAATAGACACATGCAATGGTTTTACTTCAGGGTTACGAATACGAAAAAACAAATGATGTATCGGTACGTACGTGAATGGGAAATCAATATTTATAATAAACAATAATAATAATAATAATACGATACTTTCAGATTCTCCATAGTGAATTTATCGAAAGCAGAAAGTTTATATAACGAAGGCATGCGACCTTTATTATACTCAACAAAAGACGCTCAATTACATTCTATAGGTTGGAGACGATGTGGTGATAATATAGCATATTATAAAAACGACTCTACGTAAGATACGCTATTGTACTATCAACATATTGTACATAAAGATATGGGCGATGAAACTAAAAAACAAATATTTATTGCAGGTCAGAAGAGGAAGAGCAATTTCCCAGCTACACGTTGACTTTTAACATAGAATTTCCTCATACGGATGATGCGGTATACATTGCTCATTGTTATCCATACACATATTCAGATTTACAAGAATATCTGTCGCGACTTCAAGCACACCCAATCAAATCAACCTATTCAAAATTAAGACTTTTATGTAGAACGCTAGCTGGTAATAATGTTTATTATTTAACCATTACTGCTCCTCCGAACACAAATGAATTGGAACAGAAGGTGAATATATAATCTCCATAATTTACTTTATTTTAATAACTAGTATAAATTCACTTATTTAATTGATTTTAAACAGTCTTTCATCATTTATTTAGAAAAAGAAAGCTGTCATAATAACAGCAAGAGTACACCCAGGAGAAACTCCTTCGTCCTGGATGATGAAAGGATTCATGGATTACTTAACAGGGGATTCCAATCAAGCGCGCGAATTGCGAGAGAAATTTATATTTAAATTAGTGCCTATGTTAAATCCGGACGGTGTAAGTGGTGAACTAGATATTATTCATGTTATACATAAAGTATATTTTACGTCAATAACATTTCCGCCTTTTTATAGGTAATTGTTGGTAACAATCGGTGTTCATTGACCGGAAAGGACCTAAATAGACAATATCGAACTGTCATAAGAGAAACTTACCCTTCTGTATGGCACACTAAAGTAATGATTAGAAGGTAAGCCAATGTTTAAGTTTGCGTAACAATATTTATGTGACTAAATTATTATGATTCTAAATAAAAATAATACTAATTAAAAAAATATATGTTAAGGTTACAAGAAGAATGCGGCGTAGCAATGTACATAGATTTACATGCGCACTCTCGAAAACACAATGTTTTCATTTACGGATGTGAAAGCCGTCGAAATTCTGATAAAAGATTGCAGGAACAAGTATTTCCGTTAATGTTACATAAAAATGCAGCAGACAAGGTACTACTAATGTTAATAAGAAAACAAATAATTACATTTTTTTAATAAATATAATAATTGCGTCTATTTTCTTTCAGTTTTCATTTGAAAATTGTAAATTCCGAATACAACGCAGTAAAGAAGGTACCGGTCGAGTAGTAGTCTGGATGTTGGGGGTGGCAAACAGTTACACAATGGAAGCCTCTTTTGGAGGATCTGAATTAGGAAGTAGAATGTCAACACATTTCTCAGTCCAAGATTATGAAAGTTTAGGAAGAACATTTTGTGAAACGTTATTAGATTTCTATGACGAGGGTCCTAGCAAAGAAAGACTAAGAACAAAAATTGTGACGCGCCTTTTAAAAGAGGGATCAAATGCCGATGAACCTACTAACATAGATCTCTCCGACTATTCAAGGTTAGCGAAAGTGTGTAATTTAATATGTAAATAGTTTAAATTAATAAAAATCTTTATATCATATTATATTTCAGTGACGAGGGTGATACATCCAGTAGCAGTTCTGAAGCGGGAACTTGCAATGAAATTATTACTCAACCAGCACCACCTCCGTCACCAATGTTTCCAGATATAGACAAAAACACAACCGACGTAGGTTATTTAATACTATTACGTCATTAAAAGTAATTAATGTTTTATGTAAATTATCTAATTATATATATTTTTCTTTTAAGAAATCAAGAAAACAACGCCCTAAATTAGAAAAAATGAAAAGAATCGAAAAAAAGAAAACTAAACGTGAAACATTACAGGTATCTATATCTTGTCAAACTAATAACAAAATAATTATTTTAATCTGAGGACCTCGGTGGTCTAGCGGTCTAGCACACCGCTTTACGTCCGATGGTCGCGGGTTCGATTCCTCGCACGGCACAAACATTTGTATTCATGATTATGATTGTTTGTATCGGTCTGGGTGTTTTCTATGTATATTATGTGTATATTTATGAAAAAAAAATATCTATGTATTTGTTTCGTTATCTAGTACCTATAGCTAGCTTAACTTGGGTCTAGATGGCGCTGTGTGAATTGTCCTGAGATTATTATTATTATTATAATCTACCAGTATATTTTTAATTGAAAGATAAAAATGGAAATGGAACATTTAAAATTTTTTACTAATTCCTTTAGCAAAATCTTTATTTTGTTAAAAAATTCAAATAATTATTTTTGTTTGAACATTTACTCATTATACCATTCATATAACTTTGTAAATACATTTTAAGGTATCAAGGGCAACAATAGACCTTACATCAGACGCAATGACAGACGCTTCGTCGGATGAATCATGTGAAGATAGCCTGAGCCCAGTTAGGCGAGTTCATAAGTTTCTACATTCTTCTACGAAATCAAAGCCGCGAAGAAAGAAAAAAATGCCACCAGAACTTAAAATAATACCAGCACCGGTAAAACTGCTATCCAATTGTTTTTTATAGGATTCGACCCAAGTATAAAGAATTGTAAGAAGTTTGCCCTTATAAAGCAATATAAATGAAGAAAGTTCTTACCATTTTTTACTTTTGTATTTACATTTTTTTTTTATAAAATATACGTATAATAAATAATATGCATATTTACTATTTTGTCACAGACAAGCGACTCACCATACCACTCTGATCGGGAGAAAAAAATCAAGAAATGTGGTAGACCTCGCAGTGTTTCGATGTTTAATGAATCAATCGAGAAGTCTAAATTGAATCCAGCATCGTGGCATCAGTTTCGATGCCTACCGCCTCCTAAGTAAAATTATACTTAAATAGTAACAAAATGCATGTTCCTAATTATTGGATATCATGTCAATAAGTTATAAAAAAAAGTACGTCGAACCCAGAGCCTTATCAAGATACGGTAGTTGGTATTATCACAGCATATTATTCAAAGTAATACACCTATATACATACCTACATACAATTAAAGTAAAGAAGTACCAAGGCTTCTCCTAGTAGCTCTCAAGGTCAAAAGAGATTTTTCTGTTATTTGTATGTCTGTATTTTGGTATGTAGGTAATGCTATGTTACGAAATGTTTGGCAATTCTTGAACAACTTAGATCATTTTGTAATAGAAAGGGACTTTGACGTTGATACCGTACTATTTTAGTCTATAGTTAAGTACAGTTTTTGTGGCATGAAATGTTAATTATTATTAAATGTTTCGTTTCATTTTTATTTTATAGATGCCTGTCAGATATTAAAAACAAGAATACGCTAACACAACCATCAGAACTACAAGTAAAGTTAAGTACACTTAAAAGGAATGTATGGACTGGCGTGCATGGCGAGGACAAAGGGCCATTATCTTGGGGAATCTCCAGTTTTGCTATGAACTCATACTTTACAGATAGTGAAGCATTGTTAAGGTAAATAATAATACATTTAGTTTCATATTCACATTGGTCATTTTCATTTACCGATAACCGGCGATAATAAATTGTTACACAAATTTAATAATTCTTTTTTACTAATTAGGATTTAGTACTTTATATTGCACTCTTATTTCGCTGTTGAGTAAAAAACGATGACTTTGTTGAATTATATAATTATATTTAAAAAACATACATTTGTAACATTTTATATCCACTCTCTAATTACACAGGTCATGTTCAAAAAAATTAGAAGAACTAGAAGGAGAAAGGAAAAAGAATAGTGATGAGAAAAAAAAGAAAAAAACTAAAAGCAAAAAAAATACTGTAAAAGTAACTAACTTTGGGGAAGATATGCAAGAACCTCTAAATAAATTACCAAAGACTTGTAAAAAGAAAGGAAAGTAAGTATACTTCAGCAAAAAGTATACTTTAACAACTCTGCATATAACTTTATCCAAGATTAAAGTAGTGAATTACCTACATAAAATTAATTAATTTATTACTACTGGAAAAGGCAAACAGGCAAAGAAGCTTTGATTTTCAACATTATAAATATATATAGTATACACTAATATATTACCTTTCATCTATTGCACTTACTGACTCGACAAAAAATGTCTACAGATACTCTCCCTTTTATGGCTTAAATTTAATTAAAATTGAGAACACATAGGAGTGTGATTAAGAAGAAGGATGTTCTTTAATTTATCAAATATATAATCTATAAAAATAAATATTTTACTTTCAGGTTAAAACATGCAAAATCGGAATGCTCACCATATGTTAGCAACACTAGTTTTACTGACATACCTCGAAACACATCAGTACAGAAAACAAATCTCTGTGACAATAAACAAGCAAAAACCCGATTTAGAAAAGGTGCCTTTGTAACAACCGCTATACAAACAAAAAAATCAAGCAATAAAAGTAATATTACGATAATGTCAGATCACTCTGACTCAGATGACTCCAGCCAGTCCACAAAAAAAGTAAAAAAGAAATCAAAGACAATAAAACCGAAATTTAAAAAATCTGCTTCAGAAATTAAATCAAAACATTAAACCACCTTTTTAATTTTCATAATTAATGGTACATAACAGTGAAATTTAAAAGTAAAATTTGTCTTGCCAAATTAGTTCATCCATTTATTTGTTATATTTATTGCCAGCAAATTGTATTCCAAAATTCAATTATATAGTTAGAAATTGCCCAAAAATCGGGGCAATTTCATACTAAATAATTTGAAGGGGTTAAATAATCATTTTTACTTCATCCACTGTCATGTTAATAAAATTTAACCCCTTCAAGAGTATTTTTTTTTATATTCCACATGTTGACCTATAGTATAGTTACCATAATATATGTTTAAATAAGTGAAATTTTGAACACAATTAGGAATAGCAATTTCATACAATGAATGAACTATATATGAATGTGAAATGTTAACCCACAAGCAAATACATTACTAAAGTAACTATATTTATTTCTCAGTTTTCACTTTATTAAAATTTTATTATACTATGTTAAGTTGAATATTAATTACTGTATTTTAATCAATCAATTAAGAAATAATATGAAACAAAGTATTAGTTTTCAATTCTAATACATAAATAGAAACTTTTTATTTTTTGTCTAAGTTAATTTCTAGTTTTAAACAATGGTCAAAACATATTGAAATATTACAATGAGATTGGTTCTTTATACCCAAACTTGATTTAAACACATAAAAGTTAATAATGTGCACTTAATTAATTATAATAGTAATATGTATTAATCATAGTATTCCATAATATGTATTAGCAATCCATGAAGTAATAAATGTTACCATATATAGTAATGCTATAATCTTATATGTAACATATGTCTACACTTTATATTAAAATTTTTCAATATTTATATAATGATGCTTCATTTAATTTTTTTTCTTTAATTACTTAAACATCCATAATGGAACTAGGCATCATAGACTGGGGCAAGTTATTTATTCCATGCAGACAAAGTTGCAGGTACAGTTAGAAGATACTAGCTGTACCCACAACTTCATCTGCATGGAATTTAACTTTATTTTTCTATAATAAAAGTAGCCTAAGTTACTCCTTATTACATCAGCTACCTGCCAATAAAAGTCCTGTCAAAATTGGTGAACCATTTCAGAAATTAGCCAGAACAAACAGACTGACAAAAATTTTAAAAAATGTTTTTTAGTTTATGCATTATATTTATATTCATATGCATGTACTTAGAAAAATAGTTATTTCAATATTACAATCAGACACACGAATTTTATTTATATGAATAGATGTATAGTTTATGTTATAGAAGCCGCCAATTTGTAGTACTTCAAATTCAAACTCAAATTGAACTGAATTGAATAGAATTTCAATTTGAACTAATTATTAAAAATGCATGCAGTATTTTTATACTAGATTGTTTTGTAGTATTCATGTAGAAATATTCATGTAACATAGATGGGGATTCCTTCTTACTTAGAAAATTTATTTTACAAATTAGTTGTTTGTTACTTCAATTTGAGAATTTATACCTTGAACAGATATCAGTACTTTCTTTAAAAAGATATAAAACAAAGTTGTTTCCGCTCTCTGATTGCTTAGATCATTTAAACTACTCAACAGATTTTAATACAGTTATTCGCAACAGATATAGTTATTTTAGAAGGTTCATGTGTAATATGTACTATATTATGGTACAGAAACACCTACCCCACATTAGTATCTACATTGTACTAGTGAGAAGCCGGGGCGGGCTGCCAGTAAATGATAAAATATCAGAGCAGCTATAATTAATAAAATACCGAATCATATAATGCCTAATAATTTAAATAAATTTATATTAAATTAAGTAGATGGTTACATTTAATTATATAAACGAAAAATAATTACCTATATATGATCCAATTACTTTTTTATATGTTCAGAATGTTTGACGATCTTGATTTCCGTACTATTTTATATTACACCTAAATGTTGTTCAATGTGCAGTAAATCGGTAAAAAATATATTAAACTCAGTTTTTCTTTTCCCTGATATATCATATTATATTTATTGCACATTTATAGGCGAATATTTAAACAGACATGAATTTAATAATAAAATACTTTTATGATACAACAAAGTTTCAATTGTTAAATAAAAGTTTAAAAAAATAACATTTTTAGACTATAAATATAACAATGACAATTATGACAGATGACGGACATCACAGAGCACAGATCAGCAATATAATTTTGAGATTAAGAACAGTAGTAGTAGTAGTGGTATATTTTATCCACAAGTGGATAGGCAAAGGTACGAGACCATACAGCCTAATCTTCAGTAGTATTTCCATGAAATTCAAAAATTCTTCAAGGCGATATCGCCAAATCTTTTCATTAATTATAAGTTTGTGTTAAGTCCATGTATGTGTCCATAATTGAAATGTTTATAATTCTCCGATTGTTGCTATGATGAAGTCGTAAATTGGTTTAAAAGTTGCAGTGCATTTGAATAGTTCTTGAAGCGATGGCGGAATAATCTTATATAGTTCTTGAAGCTTAGCAATGAGCAAAATTCTGTTTAAATTGAAGGCCGGGCAATCAAAAAATATATGTTCTAATGTTTGATTTTCGTTACTAGAGCATAAAAGGCAAATCGGAGAATTAATGATCTTCATTCGGTGTAAATGTGCATTGAATTTACAATGTCCAAATCGCAGTCGACAAATTTGAGTATAAAATCTTCTCTCTAAAAATATTTTTCCCTGAATAAACCAGGGTTTTTTGCCAACAGTACTGTTTATCCCTGCATACCAAGTACCTTTATCTTTGGTAGTACGTTTCCAATCTTCTTCCCAATTTTTTAATAAGTTTTTTCTAATTTCAAGAATTAAATCTTGCCAAGGTAAGAAAATTTTTTTAGACTCACCACCCAATCTGTTGACAGTTTTGACAAGGTAATCTACTTTTTCATTACCTGTCGCTGTCACACCTTTGTGTGCCGGTGTCCAAGTAAATATAATTTCTTTTCCTTTATTTAACAAAACAGTCCATAGTTCTTTAATTTGGTAAATAATATAGCTTGTTTTGGCACTAAATGAATGATTTTGCACCGCTGATAAGACTGACATGCTGTCACTAATGATAAGCCACTGATTATGAGGTTTAGCGCATATGTCTTCGCTAATATAATGCAAAGCTTGCAAAATAGCCAAGGCTTCGGCAGTGAATATACTAGTAATGGTAGGTAATCGAAATCCATAACCAGTTTTTATGTCTCTATGGTAAAAACCTAATGACACACCTTGGTCATTTTTTGAACCATCTGTATATATTGTGTTAAATGTAGGCCATTGAGAAAGATGTTCATAAACTTCTTCTTTACATTTTAAGTTCTTATCTGTTTCTATTGTCATATTGCAAAATTTACTGTCATATGTCCCTTCATAACATGCCCACTTATTATTTGCCACATGAATATTATTTTGCTCAATTATAGATTTCATTGCAGAGAAATCAAGGAGAATGTATGGGAATTTTATGGAATTAGAAGAAGAAGCAATGGTTTGAGAATCTGTAATTTTTTGTAACAGTGAATTATTGGAAAAGCTATGTAATTTTACCAAGAATTTAAATTTAAGAAATTTGAATCTTAATGACAGAGATGGAATGTTGCATTCTACTTGGAGAGAGACTATTGGAGTTGTTTTCATTGCACCAGTGATTAGACGCAATTTTTTATTTTGGATTGTCTCTTAAGAGTGTGGGGTTGGAAGCAAAGCAAAGGTAACTGTACTCAAAGTGAGAACGGACTATGGATTTGTACAACATAAGTAAAATCTTTGGATCAGCCCCCCAAAATGTTTTGGAAAGGCATTTTAAAATATTAAAAGCTCTAGAAGCTTTATCAGATATATTACAGACATGCTTATTCCAAGATAGATTTTTTGTTAATGTTACACCAAGAAACTTGGCTTCAGCTACTACAGGCAGTATGCTACCATTATAATTAATATTAGCATGCAAAGTTCTTGATCTACTGAATATAACAACTTTAGTTTTATCTAAACTAATATCTAATTGTAAATATTTAAAATAAACATTTAATTTCTTTAGAGCTTTGTTTATTTTAATTTCTACTATATGAATATTTGAGCCTGAATAGTAAACTGCTAAATCATCAGCAAACTGTAAATTGCTGACTTCATTACCAAGAATAATATTAATTTTATGAATATACAAAATAAATAACAGTGGACTCAATATTCCTCCTTGACATACACCTATATATGAAGATTGTGGACCATATAAATTATTATTGTACTTAACATAGACTTGTCTATTATGTAGGAAATTAAAAATCCAGTTAATCAACTTATCTGGTATTCCTAGTGTTTGCAGTTCATTAGTTAGAATATGATGATTAACATTGTTAAAAGCACCAACTATATCAAAGAAGACAGAAACCAGTATATTGTTACTAGAAAAAGCACGATGAATATCTAGGTTTAAATGATTTAAGCTCTCTGTAGCTGAAAAACCTTTCCTGAAGCCAAACTGATTTGAAGGTAATAACTTATTTGATTCTATATAAAATTCTAACCTTTGTTTAATCATTTGTTCGAAAAGTTTACTCATACAAGATGTTAATGCTATAGGTCTATAGGAGTCTGAATGATTTATCAATTTGCCTGGTTTAAGAATAGGAATCAGACAATCTGTTTTCCAATCGGGTAGTATTTCTGAAGTATTCCAAAGAGAGTTAAGTAACAATAACAAAGTGTTTTTAGAATTGGGTGATAATGTCTTAAACATTTTGTAAGAGATATTGTCAAGACCGAAAGCTGTGTTACGTCTGCTGTTTAAGGCACTGTAAAACTCTGTTATAGTAAAAGGGTTTATAATGAAGCTGTTATTATTATTTAATGATACCTGTATGTTGGGTGTACTTTTGGCTGGCGGTTTGGATGTAAATTTACTTAAGAAGAGAAATCCAATCAGTGTCTGAAGATATAAGTGAACAGTTGTTATTAAATGTTTTATTAAATTTTTTCATTTTATTCCAGATAACTGATAGAGGAGTTTGCCGATTGATCGACTCACAGAATTTTAACCAGCTGGCATTTCTTTCGTTTTTGAGAGTAGGTTTTTTGATTGCCTGTTGTCTTTTAAATCTTATGTAATTTTCTTGAGTGGGATTATTTTTAAAATCTATGTAAGTTTTCTTACATAATTCTATTGCTTGAGAACAAGTATTGTTCCACCATGGCAAAGAAAGTCTTGTCTTGTGATTACAGACTAAAGAATGTTTTAAATTTCCATGTGAATTATTAGCTGTGTTAATGCTTTCTATTAAAATATTGCACATTTGTTTATAGGAGTCTAAAGGGGTGGAAGGATCGTAATTAAATTCATTACATAATTTATTATCAACAGTCTCTTGGTATACAAGCCAGTTTACATTATTGTAATTTGGCCTAAAAAAATTACTATGATTAATGGAAATGTTATTTGCATTTACAGTGTTACATAAAAGGTGGGTGATGGTTGGAAGATGATAGCTCCCTAAAGGATTATCATGTACAGACCAATTGCATCGGAGTGACAGAGAGGCAGAAACAATTGTAAGATCCAGAGCACTTGGACTCCATATATCAGAGCCTACAGTAGTGGGTTGACCATTATTAATTATACAAAGACCATTGTCTTCAATAGTATTAAGAAGAATAGTGCCTCTAGAATCGGTTCTAGAGCAACCCCAAGTGGTATTGTGGGCGTTAAACTCACCCGCTATTAGGATAGGTGATGGGATAGATTTAAATAAGTTATCTAAATGTAAATGTGTAAAGTTACGTGACGTTGCGGATGTAGGGCTGTAAAAACTAACAAAAGAAATTGTTTCATTTTTCAAATATAATTTTAAAGCGATATTTTGCAAAGAATCATCGTGATATGTATTTAATCTGTCATAATTCAATTTGTTTTGTATTAGAATGGCTACACCATTATGATTATTACCAATGTCTAATCTTTCTATATTGTAACCTTTGATATTAAAGTTTTTGAAAGGCTTTAGCCAAGTTTCAGAAAGAAGGGCGATATGTATATTGTTGTTATATAAAAAATAAGTAAAAGCAAGTCTATTATTTATCAAGCTCTGGGCATTCCACTGGATAATATTTAAAATATTATCCATTAAAGAGATACTATTAATTAGTGTTAGTACTGGAAATCTTAAAAGTATCTAAAATTATGTTTTTTATGCCTTCTGAGTTTAAGGGAGAGTCATCTGTTTTATTAACAGAAATAATTTTAATAACTGATGCAATGATTAGTTTTAAAAAGTCATCATTTTGCAATAATGTGTTAATATTGTCAGTAGGTTTAGTTTTAGTGTTTAAAGATGGAAAAGATTTTTCATTAAATAAACTAGAGAAAGGAACAGTCTTGTGTTTTATTTTGTTTTCTTGTATTTTCTTCTTTTTAATTGGGCATTCAGCTGAGATAGCTATATGGTTACCATTACAGCTTCTGTTCTATTTTTAGTGCAATCTTTAAAATGATGGTTTTCTCCACATATTGAGCAACGTTGAGTATTTTTGCAAAATTTACCAATGTGGCCATATCTCAGGCACTTTAAACATTGTGTTACTGGTGGGGTGTAAGCGCTTACCTCGAAATACCTTGAATTGATATCGACATTCGTAGGGAGTGTGGGACAGGCAAAGGTAATGGCGACTGATTAGGTGGGCAGAAAACTTGTGTTACCATCTTCATCACGACTTCTTCGCATAAACCGCCGCACCGAGACGACGTCTCTGGAGCTGGAAATACCATTGTAAATACTTTTGTTTGACATGTATATAGGTACGTTTTTTATGACCCCTGTTATTTCTGTTAATGTTGCAGGTATTGTGGCTTTAACATGTAAATCTTTGTACTTTGGTGTTATTTAATGCTATGTTGGCTAAACCTGGCCTTTCAAAAATGGCTCCAACTTTATATTTATTAATTCTCTTGAAACGTTTTATACCCTTGCTTTGGCGCTTAAGACAGGCGCCAAGGGACATAAGGTCTCTGTCGCCTAAAGGCCTCGTATCGGTACTTTCATAAATAACTATATATTCAAAATTTCCTCCATCCTCAGGATATTGGCGACAGTAATTATCGATTTTAAAAACTTTATACTTATCCTCATCCATTGAGGAATCAGAGTCTGGACTGTCGACATCCCTGGAATTTTCTGGGGAGCAATTATCAACGGCTTTGCGCTTTTTGCGCTTACTTCCCATTTTGGGACTGTAATTAACTACAAATTATGTTAGTTGTACCTATATATACAAATTATTGACTTATTTTCTCTTATTAATTGTTTAACCAGTTGCTGTATATTGAATGTTTTTTTTTATATTATTTCATTGAATTAGTGCTAATCGGTGGTTTGTATTCACACACTTAAACTTAAATTGTAAGTAAGAATAAATTATTTAAAAGAGCAACACACAAGTTTCTTGCTTGTTCTTCTTGTGATGAGACAGCATTCCGAATGAGCGGTAGATTAAAAAAAAAATGTTATGACTATTCAAAAGTGCTTCAATGTAAGTTTATTTGAATAAATGATTTTCTATTCTATTCTATTCTATTCTATTGAATATAAATAAAATATAAAATAAAGGAAAAATATTTAAAACACCCGCTCTATTTGACTTCCCGCCAAAAAGTCCTTAGAAAGTTTTAACATTGACATTGAAGTCTCAATTTTTTTTTTAATTTATCACGAATAAACAACGAAACCGTCATGTGAATAAGAAGAAAGCACAAATGTACATCTAACACTATTATTTTTTTTAAGACAAGTTTTTGTAGTAATATTTATAATAATAATAATAATAAAGTATGTTGCCATCTCCTCTCCTTAAGAGGGGAGATGAGAATTTTTGTATAATAATAATAATAATAATAATAATGTTTGGTGAATGATCAGTCTATTATCCCCTCCAAGGGAGATATATAAAGAAATAATAATAATGTCTCACACTTACACACACGCGCTCACACGTACGCACCCATGCGCGCACACACGCGCTAACACACACACACACACACACTGCACTTACTTGGCTTCGGCCCGTAAGTGTGGAGAAAACCAGCAAAAGCTGAGAAAAACAAAATAAAAAAATAAATAATAAAGAGTTGTTTCTGAGCGGATGTAAAAACTATAAATCTAAAATGAAAACTCGCTTACTAGATACAAAATTGCATACATATGTATGTATTGTCATGCCTATTTCCCATTGAGGTAGGTAGAGACAAGAAAGATACATAGCTCAAAATTGGAGACCTCTAAATGTTTTATTCTTAATGTCGTATGCGCGACACAAATTTTCCATTCAAACCGAAGATACAAAAATAGACAAAATAATACAGTAATAAGAAATGTGATCAGTTTAAATTTCGATATACCTTATGACCTTCGATTTTAAAACTAAATGGCGTTTTTATTATACAAAAATCAAGAGTTATATTAGTCGTACACAATTTGTAATACCTACTTGACATCTGTGTACAAAATTCTCAGCAAAAGGATTGTTACTTAGGGCTTCTTACCTACTTTATACGAGATACCTACCTACTTTTTTTTTCGCTTTTACCATTGCGCGCCCTCATTAATTAAAGAAAATAAAATGGCATGCTCACGGCTTTCTGTTTCATACTTTTCACGAAATCGTATACATTCCATAGTATCATATAAAAAAATTATATAGGTTTCGCAGAATCTTCCACATGTTTTAATTTAGAAGGCCGACTTTCGATATCTTTTGTTTTGTGTAATAGTTTTCAAAAAGACATAACAAATCCTCTATAGGTATCGCCCATTTTCATTCGATATTAGCACTCATTCGTTAACCAACTATTCTGCGTTAGATTAGTAGAAGTAGAACAGAATGAATTCATTACTGGTGTACTAGCTGAAAATGCAAGAATTCTCAATTCTCCAGATTCCGAAAACTGCAAAGCATTGCTCACTCTGGTACCAGAAGATGAAGACCCAGGAACTTGAGGTTCACCTGTTATAGGATTAAAAATTCCACATCTAGTTTTAGCTAAAATACACGACGTTACATTTGTAAAAAAACGAACATTATCATTATCTAACATTATGTTTACCCCTGTCCTGGCTTCTCTTGTACATTGAATTATCTGTAATAAGAAAAATAGAACCTCAGTTAAGTTGATATTTATATCATAAAAATCTGGTATTAATATGACATTCGATCAGGGCTTTTTTTCCACAGACATATACCTAATCCGTGCTCTTATTATGTTTACAATTCACGGCTATAGGTACATATATATTTTGGAGACAGAAAACGACAAAATTGAAGGTAATAGGTAAAACTTGATTATATTGGCAAAATTGTTACTAAGAATAATTTTCATTTTAATTATAAATACTATATCTACTATCTAGCGTGTGAAGTTTAGTGTTTAAGTAATCTATATATTCCTATGGGATTTCTATTAATAACTTTCGGAAATAATATACTGAATTTCTAAAAATAGTTTCTAATTCAAATAGATAGCAGAAAGAAAACAATTTAGTAATTTAATAACATACTCGTAGGTACTCACAGCGACTATATAAGGAGACCTGTGGCATAATTTTCTTGCTATGTTATTGTAATGACAATTATCGAGGTACATAAAATTAATACAGCAATTAGATAATTATTAAGAATACAAACCAAGTTCATAGAATTGATCCTTCGTAGACAACGTACAAAGTCACAGTATCCCATATAACATCCCGATGGTTGTACATTCAGTGCCGACGTCGATAAAGCCTAAAATATATATATATATATATATATATATATATACATCTATTAATATTTTAATTTATTTCCAAATGTTCAATAATACTTATTATAAACTAGCCAAACCACAACTTCGTCTGCTTTTTTAAATTAAAGTTAAGCCTAATTTGGTCTACGTGATACCATCTGTCTTTATACTAAATTTCATTCAAATCCGTTCAGTAGTTTTGCTCTGAAAAAAATAACAAACAGATAGACAGACTCTTTTCAATTTATTATATTAATATGGATTGTATAACAGTACTCGTACATCGGCGTCAAACATAAAATAGCGTAATCGTATTGTAACTTACCACTAGAGCAGTAGCACAGCTTGCATATGAAGTATTTACAAAGTATTGGGTTGCACAAGCACCAAGAGCAGTTAATTCTTGAGGCCCCTAAATTAGTAAAATTTCATTATTATGAATAAAACATGTAATAAAAATTATAAAATGTTTGTACTCTGTTATTTTTTATTGCAGACTACTACTATTACTATATTGCACCTATTATTACTCCATCTGCGTCACATTCTCTCTCTGTTTGCAAGTTTTTTATTGCATATCCGCTTCTATTGGTAGTAGCGTGAAGTCACATAGCCTGTAACCTTTCTCGATAAATGGACTATCCAAATTCCCAAAATCAACAACCTCACAAACTTTACATCTTCATAATATTAGTCTAGATATACCCACGACACAGAGAAATTGGAAGAAACTGCTTTTCATAGTAAAAGACTGAAATTATTGAACGCATGTTCGTTTCCTTTAGTGTTCTAATTTATGCCAAAAATTACTTCTTGGCGTAAATTGAGTTTCAAACTGGTAAACACCACAGAAATGAAGAAACTCAGCGATACGTGAGTACCTATATCCAATGTTGCATTCACCACAATGTCTACATTTCACAAATTGACAACACCTCTAAATACCGCATAATAGATATAGATGGATAGACGTAAAGGTATCAGCTATGAATACTTTGAGTTAGGTCAATATATAACTATTGACATGAGTACTATGATAAAATATAATAATATTTTATTATATATGATAAACTGTTCCTAGTAAATTACTGTAGATATATAATTTGCTGAAGTATAAAAAACAACGTAACAATATTTAATCACCTCAGGCATCGAAGTAACTGAAGCGAAGCAGTTTACACAGGCATCTCTAATTGTAATATTAGTAGGCTGTGCTGTACTGCAAACTATATTAAGTAAATTTTGCAATTGAGGTCTGTAAATTAAAATAAAGTTAGAAAAGTAAACGGCTAGGTATAAGGGATAAAAACTGGTTGTAAATACGTTAAAATATGGCGAAAATTTGAGCAATGTTCTGTAATACGATATAGGTATATTTATGTTCAGTTCGTTATGATCCATTCAGCCGTTCAGGCGTGTAGAAACTAAGAAACAAACAGGCCCACTTTTGCAATATACAAATTATAGGTATGTATTGCGAAAAGAATACATAATTATTTCAAACGATCATTATGTAAGATATATTATTATATCATTCTCATAATAAAAAAAAATATAAAAATGTACCTATAATTTGTTAATATCACTATTTACTATTATTTATAAATATGCATTGATGTTAGGATAATAAATAAATTTAAAATCTTACCCATTGGATGGACAAAGTGCTGCTATCTTTTGATTTTTCCACTGCAATATTTTATTTTTAATATCACCGAAATCAAAAACACCATTGGGAGATGCACCAGCCTGAAGAACAAAGTTAGTATTTACTTACTATTTTTAATAAAAACCATACTTATAATAAAGTCTATTATTTAAAATTCTGACCTCACTAAAATTTAGATTCTTCCATTGGGATATGGTATTTTGCACTTGATTTAAGTCTAAAAATGTTCCATTAACTTTTCCAAAGATCGCCTGTAAACGCGAATTAATTAAATAAATAACATAGTTTTTACAGCATGTGATAGGTTTAAAATTCAGCAGTAACAGTGATTTAAACTTACTATAATAAATGTTAAAAATCCGTAGTAGATATTATATTTTATCATTTTGTCATAGTAGGTATGTAGGTATATTAGAATAATAAATTTCTGCGACGTATCACATATTCAACTAACAGTAGTAATCTAAAAATGGAAAAATATGCACTCAATTTACTAGTTAACAAAAAGTAGGTTGCTTCCACATAGTAATAATTCAAAATATAACAATTCCATAAAATAATTATGTAGGTACTTATATGTATTGAATCATTTCATAAAAATATTTAAGTGATACATTACATATTATTCATGTGCATAGACTGTGAAACTGTGAAAGTATTCATTGAATGAACATGGCATTATTGATTATATCAGTCAGATGTGTTTACATACTCTTCACATGTCCCTTTAATCTTTAAACACAAAGACACATACACAGTCGACTTGATTTAAATAAAGTAATAATAATAATAACCCTGAACAATCGAGCTACGTATTCCAAACTTAAGTAGAGCTTGTGTGATAAGTAGGTACTGATCAAGTAATAGAAATACCTAAATACATATAGAATTAACATAATATAATAAACACCCACATTTAAATCATACGAGGAGTCGAACCCGCGATCATTGAAAGTAAAACGATGAAATAAATAAAACAGGACTTACTCGCACACCCAAAAAAGTTATTTTCTTTCAATAAAGTGATATTATTTTAAATAGAAATACTTAATCATAATTTAAAGTACATACTCAAAGTGAGGATGGAGTGACAGGATAGGGAAGGGCAGCTGAAAAGGATTTTTCTAGTATTTTGGAATAGTGGGCAAAAGTAATGAAGAAAAGAGTATAGCATTATTTGTTGTCTACGCTGACGTATGACGACGCTCTTTAGACACGTATTGTCTCCGGTATACATTCAGGAAAAAAATCGAAATGCGATATACATGGTAGGGCGGAAAACATTCTAAAATTAACATATCACCATACTTATAAATATTGGTTTCCAATGTCTTTTTTTTAAAATAATAGAATGGTGCACCCGTCTGCTAACGGTTTACGGGCACCATTAGAGGATGATAAGATGAGCATGAGGTCAGGTCAGTTAGCCCACGGTGACAAATTCACCAAGAATTTATCACAATGGTTTCCATAGGGAACAGCGTGGAGGTCAACCTTACATGATACATTGCTAGCAATAAGATAATCAATCCAAATTAACAGTCAGTCAATCATTTAACAGTCCCCTTTCCCCCCTTTCGAATGTGTTAATTCTTGTAGTTTCTTTAACTTTATTTTATTTATACATTATTTTTTTTAAGGTATTGCATTACTTTAATCGCGGCGACCGAATCAAGAAATTATAACAATATTACTTTATTAATTGTCTATTGTTTTTAAGACTCCAAGTATACCTTTTAGTTAAAAGGTATACTATTTATAATCTTTGTTACAATTTCATTTAAAAGAATGTCTATGTCTAAATCGATAAAACTTTAAAACTTTAAGTAATTGATACAAGGATATGGACTATGGATAAGACTTAAATTTTGAACACGAATGAAAACATAATGAATAAACATACATAAGAATTAGCTTTTGGCCTCATCACTTGTTCAAATATGAAGAAGTATAAACGTAGCCTAGGCTGTATGGTCTAAGGATCTTTGCCTGTTCCATCACTGAAAAGGAGATGAACGTATATGGAAAAAAAAGTTTATGGCTAAGGGAGTCTATGATTGTTGGATACTTTCATGTGACTATATCACAGAGTAATTAACGTATTTTTACATTTATAACAGTACAGGGTGATACCAGGTAATCCTCCTAAATTCGGGAGATTTTTGTAGAGATCAATCAAGCTTTAAAAGAAAATTGAAGGAAGTTTCCTTTACATAGTTGCAGTCCAACGGGATGGTAAAAGGCTTGTTGAGAATTACTAATATGAGTTGACTGACTGAATAAATGCTAATGATATTAATTGCTTCACATTCATTCCTTACAGTCTGATAAAACAAATAAATTATATGCAATAGCATCTTGTAAAATTTATCAAGTACTTAATTTTGGTTTGTCTTTCATTTATCTTGCATATCTATATACTGTTTAAATTTCTTCCTTTTTTTAAGGATTAGCATGCATATTTATATTATATATCTATTCATTTGTCTCTTGTATCTTCAAATGTATCTCCTAGTATTTAGCTACAATAATACTTGTAAAATATAGGTACTTAAATGTTTATTGATACTTCGTTGGCATTATTATATAAGTTTAATTGATTTTTTGGTCAGTTTTGAGGAAAGGCAGGGCGATGTTCGGGTAACACTGTTTGCAAACACAGATTACTTTTTTATACAGAAAAAATATACCCATTAGGTTTGCAATTTTTTAAATATAAATTAAATTGGTATATTGATAATTGGTAGTCACTTTCGTTTGTTTCAGAGTATTTTAAATTTATATTTTATTTTATTTTATAATGATTGAAGGCCGTGCAAATGTTAGTATGTTATGATATTTTTCATAGATATTTTACTAGGAGTTTTGCCTTTTGTCTAATAATAATTTCTACATCTATTTCAGGAACTACCTGATTTCCAAGTTTTTCGGACGGTAATAAAATATTGTTTATTCATTATTATAGTACCGGTTCTATCCTTTTTCTCCGTAAAAGTAGTACTATTTGATGGAATACTGCGACTAGAACCCATTACGAGCAGTGTATATTCTGCTGTAATAGCGGTGATCGTGTTGCACGTTACACTAGGCTTGTATATTTATCGTGCCTATAACGAAGCTGAGAAAACTCCACCAAAACCGGTGAAAAAAGATTAAAATCAGACAATATATCAATATGGACAATCTTTACTTGAAGGGTGAGTTATTACAAGTTTATACAAAGAATTTCGAAGTGATTGAGGGTCGTTTTTATGAAATGAATTTGGATAAGTCCAGATTATCTTTGTATAATGTAAAGGAATTACCACAAAGCGATCCCACCGAAGGCGTTTGCCATTATTATAATTCAGAAATAAGAAATATTGTCAAATTGCAAGAAAATGATGAGCAAAAACACTTGAAGATCTCACAGAAAGAATGTGAGGAAATTATTAAAATCTCAAAAAAATACATATATATAAATCAAGTGGATAATGCTTTCCATGAGGCATTAGAAGATTTGAATCAATGTGATTATATTGCTCTCAGTACCGATTGTGCAAATAAGGGTAGGAAATGGAAAATGCCGTTTCTAGTATTGGCTACACCTTACCAGATTTATATATTTGATACTAAAGTGATGCAATATCATGCATTTGATGCTGGCCTAAAGAAACTATTAGAAAGTGAGGTACCAAAAAAGATTGTCCATGACTGTAGGAAGATATCTGATTGTTTATATCATAAGCATAATGTTAAGCTGAAGTCGGTATTTGATACTCAGGTGAGAATTGTTTACATTTATTATAATTTTAAGTTACAATATCACAAAGAAACTTCTTCAGTTTAAATTTATATTACTAACTAATAATATTTTGTTATTAATAAGTAGCATAGTGCCTGTATAAATTGATTACCTGCAATTATATTTAAACTAATATATTAAATGTGTACAGTGTACTATAATTTTATTTGATCTAATTTTACAATTGAATTGACCAAAGTCAAGCAAAAATGAATATGAAGTGTTTTCATAGATTTAATTAACTTCCAATCTCCAGTTCAGCTGTCTTCTGATATACAGGCTACAAATTTAAAGTCTCGAGCTCTAAACAATCTCTTTTATAATCTGCCAGTCACTATTAATCTAGAAGTAATCTCTAATGAAGGACTTATACTGTATTAACTATGATTTGTACATTTTGCATAAGGGCCCGTTCAAGTATTACGTAAGCACTATACTCTTGGGGGCGGAGGGTCATAAGTATTTATTTTTTTTTTTTGCTTATTTTGGATGACATGGGGGTGGGGGAGTCTGTATGATGATTACGTCATCGGTCGTAATTTACTTTTTTACACGAATGGCAACCCTCACATTGTCTTTGCTAAAAAAACAATACATTAATTGAGAGATGTTTACGTAAGCATGGGTGGAGGGGGTAAGAGCTTTGCTTACTTTTGCTGACAACGGGGGATGGGGGTAAATAATTGTAAAAAATCTGCTTACGTAATACTTGAACTGCATTTAATTCATCATTCGAATCTGGCAAAGTAGTGTTTACTATACCTGATATTGCCTTCCTTTCTTCCCTGTATTTTTCTAATGCCCCTTTCCCAATTTTTTATTTTGCTGTACTCTCTCATTGATTTTATCAATGTTTTTAACTTTCTCTACAGCTTTTTTTCTAAAAATAGGCTCTATCCTTAGCCCTTATTATTTCTCTCTCTTTCACCATCATCTTATCTAAAAAATATTTTTTTGGCATTGGATTCTCCCATGCCCATGAACTATTCCCTAATTTTTTATCAGCCATATGAGACTCCATAATATCTTTTAAAATGACAGCCTATGTATTATTCTGATATATAAGCTATATCACTGTAGTTTCATTACAATCCATTCAGTAGCTTTTGTTATGAAAGAGTAATAAACATCCATCCATACTCAGACTCAGACTTTCGCAATTATAATATTTTTAAAATAATAATATATAATACAATTGTGACATTTGGGTATTATTCCTGTTGTCATATTTTTTAATGATAATTATTCTTTATTTTTCAGGTGGGAGACTTAATTATCATGAAAAACAGAAACGGCTGTCTACCAAATAAAGTCAGAACTCTATCAAAATGTTTGAATGCTTACCTTGGGCTAAAAGTTAACACAATTCATGAAATAGTAAGCATCTATTAAGTTATATAATAATTAATTTAATATTATTTCAATATACAAATAAACCTTTGACAGAAAATGGCTGTAAAAATAAATAAAATATGCTGTAATTTTTCCAATAATTAGTCACATATAACATTTCTGTTAACACAAAATCAGTGTTTAGTACTCTATTAGAATAAAAAATTATATAGCTATAAAATATTAAAGAAATCTTAATGATAAATAGGAATGCTTTAAATACAAAAAATATATATTACAGTTGGATGTGGAATTGTGCAACCAGCGTCCATTAGCAGTGAAGATAAAAGAAACACTTGCTAAAAACATTGCATATCTGCATCGTCTATCTGAAGTAATCAATGATGAAATGGCACTACCCTTTCTGAGGGGAGTACAATGTTATGTAGAAAATCTAAGAGCCTGTGATGACTACAAGGCCTGGGAGCTTTGTGGAAAAGATCAGCAGCCGCCAAAGGATTTTAAAAGTGCAATTGAGTATTAAATTTATTTATAAGACATTCCACAATAAAGTGTAGATATAGATTTTCTTTTTATTTGCTCCTTGTAGTACATTAATTTTTTTGTATCCTCAAAAAATATGGCCCACAATACTTGTTTAATGATGCATTAGAGGACTAAGTACGCCATATAATTTATGGAGGTATTGATGCTGCAATGTATATGAAGATAACTTGTATGCCTAATCAGTATTCACAGTAATATTATAAATGCGGAATAATCTGTTCTACTTGTTACCTTTTACTGCTAAATGATCCAAATGATATTTTATATGTAGCTAAGACTTAAATGCAGCTAATACTAAAAGTTATACATACATATTTTTTATTGTAGAGATTGATAATTATAATTTAGAGACAATGTGAGCAATGGTGGACTTATTCCTAAAAGAGATCTCTTCCAGTAACCCCAAAACAGTGGCATAGGCTTTATTGAATGGGTAATAACTAGTGCAAAAAAATTCTCGAAAACTATTAAATGAAATACAAGTAACAAATTGCATAATCTAATACAAAAGTAATATACATAAACATGAATAGTTAGAATAAACAACATATTAAATAATAATACAATAACATAATATTAATACATATCTATCAAAATAAACTAATAAATAATGATGAACATCATTAAAGTTAAGTAAAATAAACTTTAATCTGTTTGACTTGAGACTAATTACACGTAAATTCGCTAATCAACCGAGCAGGGTATTAAAGAGCTAGCAGTCCTTGCTCAGCAGATCAGCATTTTTATGATTAATTCTAAAGTAACTGAATATTTTTCAAGAAACCTATGAGGATTTTGATGGGATGATATTGTTATTCACTAATAAATATTGATAGAACAGATATATGTCGTTTTTGCGGATAATGGAAGAATTGCTAAATAAATCATTTCATACTTTAATATATCAATGTTTATCGTATATATAATTTATTTTTTCGGATACACTTAAAAAATATATCTATGACATAGGTTTTAAAAATAAGTTTGGGTAGAATGCTAGTCCTTCTATAGATTCATCTCGACACGCCAGACCAAGGCGCTCGGTAGTAAATAGCCGTTCTCGAGCTAGTAAAATGGATACACTGGCCATTTGAGACAGTTTCACTGGGGTTAGAAAACCATTTTCTTCAATCTAGAAAATAAAAAAAAGTCATCTCATTACTTTATAATTAACACATATATTGAAATATACATAATATAAAAAGTTTTAAATTCATTCCCTATACTGTCATAGTATCGTCCATTAAATAGAAAAATGTCATTTTCAAAATGGAAGCTAAAATTGCCTCATTTTATATAAGTCAATTCAATTAACCACGCCGTCTTAATCATCATTTAAATACTTTTAAAATGATATATAATAGTTCTGTGTAAATTTAAAACTTTAAAGGAAAAAAATATTAAAATAAATTTAAAAACTTTAAATGATTGTCTTGTAAAAAATGTATAAATATTTTGAGTACTGCCATTTTTCTATTTAACCGAACATGTCAATAGTCATTTACCAACCAATCCGATTATAGTACACTTACTGATTGCGGTTATACAAGGAACAGAAAAAAAATAAAGAAATTAATAAATATTTAAGAAATTTAATAAGCCACCTACTACTGGAATAAACATATAGGGACCACACAAAACAGATCAAACACCATACAATTTTTCCCTCTGTTACAGTGCTGTATTTTAAAAAATACCTTATGTGACGCCCGTGACATCTCACTCACACATTGCCATTCGCGAGTATTAAAGACATCATGCTGAATCGAAATACATCTTTTAAAACAAGCTGCTTGGCGGTTGATATAAGTGATACCCATGCAGATTAATTTTTACAAAGGCAGCTCAAGTCCATATGTTAAATCGAACATATTTTCGTTTAATATAAATAATGCTATGTAACTGGCAACCCAACAGTCATATAAAGTTCTTGTCATATAAAAATTGTATGGATTTGATATAATAAACTAATTGATTTTGGGGCTTTGTAATGCGCGTAAAATTAAAATTAATATTAAATTATTAATAAAATTTGCCATACCAGCTTGCTTGTATCCTTTGCCACCTCCTCATCTCTATGGTTGTTTAATTGTAGTACACATGCTCCACTAGGAAATTTTCTCATTGACATAGGAGCTCCGATTCTCTGCAATAATCTGAAAATTATAATTTGTGATGTTATATATATAAAATCAAAATTAATCTAATAGATAATAATTTTTTTATCGAAATAAGTGTTGATTTGAAGAAGTCCATTTCATTGTTAATTTAATGGATTAAATGACGTCTGTGGTCTCAGTTAATGGTAGCCATTAGCATGTGAGAACTGAGACCACAAATATTCAGTGCGGAAATCTGACTACCGCACCGCTATACCGCATTACGACCTTCTCCATTAGTGGTCAAATTCAGAGCATAATTGAGTATGGTGTCTACTCAAATTGCAACACGTGTTTAGCCTCTGAACGAAGCAGCATCAGACATTGAATAATTCGGATATCCGCTAGTGTTGACTGTATATTTATGAGGCATGTATTAAATATAACACAATATTTACAGGCGATATAATGTATATTTACTACGGTGCCATACCGTATTTACCGTAGATTCTATAAGTTTACCAATATACAGCTGGCTCATTTGATTCCTAGGCCTACCTAATGTACCAATTGGAGTCCATCGAAACATTAGTCCCATTCTGGCAACATGACAATAAAGAGACTATATTTGACTGCAGTATCATCTTTTACAATTTTGCAAGTCCATTACAGCACAATCACGGCAGAAAATATAAACCCGAAATTTTATCAAACCCCTTGTTGCCCTAATGTGGTAGTTGTTTGGGTGGTGGTTTAAAATATACAATAGTACATGACCCTTTTAACATCAGATAACATTGTCTGTTACACATAATTTAACTAACTATTATTAAATTTAAGGTCTACTAAAACATTAAATCTTACTTGCAAGCATTTAAAAGATCTTCAGGGGATATAAGTTCTAAACCTCTGGCTCTGTTCACTCTGCACCACACATCTGCTAAAGACATTATACCTCCACAGTCCTGTTAAAGAGGTTTTCATCAAAATGTAAATTAGAATAATAAATATATTTTTTATAATTGTACTAATTATTTATCTAAATGTATGTCTATCTAAATACATATTTACACAATAGTTATTGAATCAACCACAAATACAAGTTAGGCATTCATGATACATTTGTTGCATTGTTACAAACAATATGAATTCAAATGTGTATCACAAAATCTACAAATATGATTGTGAATAATTGAAGGTATGTACATTGCTGAGTTAGTGAAGTCTAAAAGCAAAGTTTTTATTAAATTAAATGGTTAAATGAAAACAATTTATATCTTCATACAAACTGTCTGGCCACATAAGCAATTTAGTATGAAGAGGTAAAAAAACATTTTCACAATTGGCTACTTGACAATTTTCTGAAATATATTTTAAAATTTTGTAGACTTAAACCTTTAAAACCACCTTTAATTATCTAATTTTCAAATTAAGCTTTATTTGATAGAGAAAACATGAATTCGCGCTAAAACACTATGTCCCGTGACATTTCCGAGCTATGACGTCAAATTACAATAAACGAAACAAGGCTAATACGGCGCCCTAACTGTTTTGAGTGATAAGTATACAGATTTTATTGTAATTGTGAAAGTGACAAGCTACAAACGTATGCGGTGCTTATGTGTCGAAGTACGACAATTAAATGTCCCAACAAATTGTTTATACACGTTCCTAAATTACAAACGGGGATCGAAATTACGACGGCCTGAGCCGAGGTTCGAACCCCTAGTGGTGCCCTCAGACTAAAGTCGTATCCATCAGGCAGGAATTGGCCTTCAGCCGCTCCATAAGTCCTTCCGCGGGTTTGGAGTGCCATCTGCACTCGCCCCTAACGTTCAGTGAAGCTGTAAAGGCCAGCTACTGCCAACAGCATTAGAGTAGTCCGAACAAAATCAGGATTACAGGCAAAGAGATTTGCGATCATAAACGAATCTATCCTGGGCAGATTTGCATTATCTGTTTTAATATAGCCTAACTCATTTCGTGAAACTTTAGACAACATTAATTGAAATATTTGAGCGATTTTTCTCAGCAAAGTACAGAACAAATAACAAGATTACTTAACATTTTATTTATTGAATTATGACGTCATACGATGATCAATCATGGCCGCTCCATGTCAACCACAGATAAACAAAACTCAGATTTATTTTCCAAAAATTAAATATTAATAATGTTTTTTGATGCAAAAAACATATTGTATGATTACTGTTTACTAAGGAGCTACCATAAAAAAATGTTTTCATATTTTATTTCTACAACTGTCAAATAGCCAATTCACACAAAGAATACTCATAATAAACCAGTTTCACCTAGAAAGGAGATACTGGTTTATTAGGAGTTTTGTTGGCGTTTGTCCAATGAAAAAAATTTAACCTGACTTAGTACTGACTTAATAACTAATGTTATAAGAAAATTTTGAAATAAAACAATAAACAAAATCAGTGGTAATTAACCAGTTATGTAAATATAGTTACCATTAATACAGCCACTATCATGTCTGATATCTGCTGGGAGAGTTCCATGTAATATTCGGAATCAGATCTAAAAGTGTCTCTGGTTACTGGATCATCAATACCAAGACTCATTAGATAAGATTTAAATCTAACTGTGTCATCTTCTGAAATATCTCCCTGCTTTTCCTATAAATAGTAATATTTGTTTATTATTGATTTATCTTTATTGCTTAAATACTACATAAGAAATTCTATTTTTAATATCTATTTCAATAATAACAACAGTAATTTCAATTGTTGATAGTGGATTATATTTTGTATATTATTAGATTCACAAAAATATTTAAATAAGAAAAATAAATAACATTACTTTGAAGTATTAATATTTTTACATACTCTACAACATTATTGCCAAATAAAAAATATGGCATACCCTTATTTTAGCTGATATATTCTTTGATAGTGCTACCATGTCTTTTGCTTTCGTCATTAGTTTAGTTAGATCTTGGAATGCTACTGTGATACTTTCATCAGTCACTCTATGTTGTTCCTCTATACTTCTTTCAATTCCAACTATACCAGATCTGATCTTAGAATTAATAGGAGTCACTGGTTTTGAGGATGAGGTAGGACTAGTTGAAGACACTGGTGATATTGCTGGACTAGGCCCTTCCCATGCTTTGGCAGATACTGCATCACTTAAAGCTTTGTAAAAAGTAGCATCAATGCCGTCTTTGAAGGAGAATTTCACAAAATGATAAGGACTGACTACTGCTGGCCCAGGTCTTTTACCTTAAATGTAAAGAAAATGAAATATTTAGTTGGTATTGTGATTTGACCAATTATCTCCAATATTACTAGTGATAAATCTGTGATCCTTCTGGTGGTATAGTTTCCAACCATTCTAAGTGAATAAACTATCTTAAGTGTAAACATACCTGCTACCCTCACTACTAACCCGCAAATCTATATCATTGTTGCAAATATGATCACATTCTATGTTTACAAAAAAAGCAACTGCCTTACCTTCCAACAATTTTGATTGTCACATAATACAAGCATTTATAATAGACAATTATTTTTTATTATGTATGGTATGTATATAATGATCATGATGATGCATACACAAAAAGAATATATTCAAATATGTCAGTAATGTAGCAACCGTAATGGAAATTAATTGAAGTTTAAAACTAAATAAGTCTTTGACATGTGCAGAAATTGTTAATTAGAGTAATTGAATTTAAAAAATAAATGTTTCATATTTATTTGAAATATCATCAATAACCCCTAGGGTTTATTTAATAATTTTGTACTAATAGTTTTCCTAAAATAAAAGACAAGGGGAATCCTGTCCAGTCCTTTATTACAGGAATAAAGACAAAACAATATATTTACTAACTGAGATTACAATGAGAACCACATTCAATTTGTTGTATACTGTATACATTCCAGCAGAACTGCTATAAAAGGTAAACAAAGAGGTTTGTTTACCTTTCGTGGATTGGTGTATAGTATTGAATATTGTTTAGAATACTTACTACTAAGAAAGTATTATTAAAAATTATTTTTTTTACCAGGGAGCGCCGGTCCAAGGTGCAATATTATCCTTTTGGGTCCACCCAGGCCAAATACTCCACCACTCTCTTCTTCCAAACAAAATACATAGTATAAATGAAGTGATAGACATACAAGTCCTTTTGGTATATCGCCAGGTTTTCCCCATAATATTCTATGGGTTGTTAAAACTACTTCTCCATCCGTGAATTGGGTCTAAAAATTAGATTTTTTTGGTGACAGAACTAAAGAACATTGTCACTGTTCATCAAATCAATCATTAAGATACAAGTATAATATCTTTTTGAAATTAAATTTATGTATTGACAACTATGAATACACAAACCTTATCGTCACCATCGTAGATTTTAACATTTTTATCTCGTTTAATATAACTTTCTCCCTCAAATAAGCGGGCGTCAATATATTCAAATCGATCCATTATTGCAATGGTAAATTATAATAGGTTTATGGCACTAGATTAATCCTAAAAATCTAAACATCAATGTGATTTTCCAAATATTCGGCAAATTTATATAATTAAAATTAGTGAAATATAAAAATTAAAGATGATGATGTTTGTTTTTATTTTTCTAAATTAAATTTATAAATTTACTCTGTGCTTATTGAATTCTAATCACAGACAGAACATTATTATCCTAGCGGATACTGACACTCTGTCAAACAATTAAATGTATTTTGAAATTTAAAGTTAAATCTCTAAAATTTATTTCTATAGAGGTATTATCTCATTACATAAAATCTCCGTGCCAAAAGTTTATTATTAATTGGAATTGAGAAAGTTGTATTAAGAAGCATAGTCAAAGTACAAAACAAGTATTGAAATAGACTTTAAGCTTATTAAGCATAAGGTCTTATTGGCAAAGGTCATTTTGTCATTATTATAATTAAAAAACTCTTAGCTGATGCACAAGGCGGTGGTGCGCCTGTGGTATTACTCTATGCTGTGATTTATGTCTGTCAGTATCATTGTCAGTCGTCCATCCGTCAACTATTCATGCCATTCCATGCCGTTTGCCATGCTGCTGTAATGCATAGAAAAATGAAAGGAACTCCATTGAAACGCTGACCTGCAATTATCTCTAAGCACTTTTACTGTACTTGCATTTGTGACCGTGACTAGACGGACGTTTTGAATGAAAGTTAATTTTAATATTAATGATGGCAGAGTCTCAAGAAATATTACTTCAAAAAATAAAAGAACAGGGTGATCTGGTCAGAAAATTGAAAGCTGCAAAAGAAGCAAATGAAAAGGTTAGTTATATTGTATTTTATTAGATTTATGATCCAGTTAAAAGGCGATAGCAAGAAGTACATTGTCTTTGTCGACGCTGCCCTTACGACGTTGCAACTCGCAACATTTGTTAGTAAAAACTACTTGATATTACCTCATCTGCACAGTTTCATGCGCTATTAAAACATAGAATTTAATTTTATAGGCCAAGAAGACTGTAAAAGAGTATGATCTCAAAGAAATTGATAGACACTTGTGTAGCTACAGTTATATTTGTGGTTATGTACCTAGTAACTGTGATGTCGAATTGTATAAAAGCATAGGCAAAAATAAAGATTTTGACAGATACAAATATTTGAGGAGGTGGTGGTACCATATGCGGAGTTACAGTGACTCAGAAATAGAATTATTCCCAATGACTGTACTGCCCACTAAAATGTATATCGAAAATAATGTGTGTGATGACCAGGTTTGTTAATAAATTGTTAAAGTGGCATTGTTGTGTTAGAGTCTGTATATAAAAGCTTGCTTAGTCTATTAATTCTGTGGCACTTTATTTTTTCATTGGTACACCCCTCGCAAACTTAATTATATGCAGTTGAATCTCCTCATATGGTTCTTTTTCACCACTTTTTTATGATGATATACCTAAAATTTATCTATTATTCTTTGTTTAAATATAAGACATGATATTGCAATGGGTATGTTTTCTTTTTCCGGTTCTCAATTACTCAAATGCAGTGGTGTTGAAGTATCATATTGAGTGGTTTTTTTTACTAAGATATTTAAAAATATTACTGAAGCATGTTATTCAAAGCGCTGAAATTTTCAAAAAACCACAAAGCTGTGTTGCAGTTATGCAACTTTTTTCATAATGGCAGTTTCACCAAAAGTATTTCGACAACTGCTTGTTACAAGGTATTGGAAAGTAGTGCATGGTTCATTAGTCAACAATTTTGAAAGACTTAGACTAAAACAGATAGCTATACTTTTTATAATATTTTTTGTAGTTCTTCACACCTTAATAAATAGTAGTAGTGTAATATTTCAGTTAAACATATTAAATTTTGTATTCTCTTCCACTTTAGTACTATTTTATTTATAAGTTTAATATCTAAAAGAAACATCATTTTTTAAAAATATATTCCTAATGTTTTAAGGCTAGTTGCAGTTTATTTTCAGAAGAATATGTTAACTGTGTTATTTTTTAAGATTCAAGAAGAGGTGAAAAAATTATTGGCACTTAAAAAGCAGCTAACTGTGGAGGATGTAGTACCACAAAAGTTTACTCTTAAGACACCAAAGGGTACTCGAGATTACAATCCACAACAGATGGCAATAAGAAACAATGTACTCCAAAAAATTATTACAGTCTTCAAGAAGCATGGTGCTGAATGCATAGATACACCAGTTTTTGAATTGAAGGTTAATACTTAATTGAATTATTAATATCATTTTTAGTTAAATTAATGCATTTTACACACTAGTATTACTTATAATTTCATTACTTACACTCAACTTCATCTACTTTAATACATTGTTTTCTAAATACTTTGTAATAGACAACAATCACATATTACATAACCTATCTGATTCTTTCACTTGTTTCATTAAAAATTTCATCTGACATGATTTTTATATTATTATTATTATTATATTAGCCAGTAATGGTATATTCATAGAAGGATTGCTAGCTTGACCTTGATTCTCATTTAAATGTAATATTTTGTTTTTCTATTTAATTTATGGTAAATAAAAAAGTGTTAATTTTATATATTGTCCTGTATAGAAATAATTTTGTTTAAATTTTAAACAAAATTATGTCTTTTGTGTTTTTGTTAAGCTATATAAGTTAAGCTAATATGATTATTATGGCTATCAATTTCTTAAACAAAATATACATAATGTATATATACAATGTAACAGAATACTATGTAATGATATTGATTTTGTTTGTGATTACAGGATGTATTAACTGGCAAATATGGTGAAGATTCAAAATTGATTTATGACTTGAAAGATCAAGGAGGAGAAATTTTATCTCTAAGATATGACCTGACTGTGCCTTTAGCAAGATATTTGGCAATGAATAAAATCACAACACTTAAGCGTTATCATATTGCAAAAGTCTACAGAAGAGACAATCCAGCAATGACAAGAGGCAGATACAGAGAATTCTACCAATGTGTAAGTTATACTTACTTTGATATTCATTCATATATTTGTAAAAATATGAGCAATTACTAATTTACATAAAAAAATGTATTAGCTGAAAATTAATATTGTGTAATCAACTTTACAGTTTTATTAACCTTAAAGGCTACTTTTAAAAATTTATATTTAGGTAATGCAGTTTATTACGAAACATCTATTTATTCATGTAGGTTGGCTATACTACTTTTACAGAAATTTAAAACCCAGATTTACCTGTGTATATGGATGTGATGTGTATACTGATATTTATCTTTATACCAGCTTTTACCCGCGGCTTCGCTGGCGTTAATTTATCCCCTTAGGGGTGGAATTTATCAAAATCCTTACTTAGGGGATGCCTACGTCATAGTAGCTTTATGCATGCAAATTCTCAGCCTGATCGGTTTAAAATTGACAAAGTTTCATACAAACTTTCATCCCCTATTTTATCCCCTTGGGGGTAGAATTAATCAAAATCCTTTCTTAGCGAATGCCTACGTCATAACATCTACCTGCATGTCAAATTTCAGCCCGATCTGTCCAGTGGTTTGGGCTGTGCGTTGATAGATCACTAGTTTCAATTATATATATATATAGATGAATTTAATTTCAAAGATAGTGTATTACATTAATATTTCATTTCGCACATAGTATGTTGCTTTACTTTGTTAACGAATCTTAGGTACACTACTGTAATTAGCTATCTCCTATTGAGCCTTCTATCTCAATGGATTCCTCTATTCCAATATAAATTAAAAAAATGAAATACTATAAATTTACATGCAATTCAACAAATATGAGTAAATTACTTCTTTATCACTGACTATACTTTGACCTGGCATTTCCGCACTTAGCCTCGGTAAGGGGCAATCGTGCGTGAATCACACTGACCTTACTGATAATTCCAGTTATCAATAAAAACTAGTAGCATATTGGTTTAGTACCCTAATTTCTAGGTAATTCAAGGTCGTGTATTTGAATCGTATTGTACTAAGCGTATGTACATTTATATACACCCTTAATGTAACCTATGGGGCTAGGCTCATTTAATAGATAGGGGTGGGCAAGGCAAATTTAAACATGTCGTCTGGAATCAAATGCACTTGACATGAGACTATGAGACACAAGTATTTCTAACTACCTTATATTATATAGTTTTACAGTAATATTTAAATGTTACTGATTTATCAATAAGAATGTGGAGTGAAGATAATACATTTATATAAATTTTAATAATAAATAAATATTATTAAAATTCCAGGACTTTGATATAGCTGGTCAATATGATTTGATGGTACCTGATGCGGAATGTCTTAAAGCTGTTACAGAGATATTGGACGCCCTTGATATAGGTAAATATGTACTGAAGGTGAATCACAGAAGATTACTTGATGGCATGTTTGAGGCATGTGGTGTACCAGCAGATAAATTTCGTCCAACCTGTTCCTCTGTAGATAAACTTGACAAGGTGAGTGTTTTTTTTCTACTTAATTTTTTATTACGTTGTGCAGACACAAAATAATATTATTTTCACATTTATGTACTATGTTATTATTGTATTTTGTGATAAAAACAAAATTTATATGTAATTATTAGCTCAGTGATAATGGAAAATGTTATAAATTTTTCAGTCACCATGGGAAGAAGTCCGAACTGAAATGATAAATGAAAAAGGTGTATCACCTGATGCAGCGGACAGAATAGGAAAATATGTACTTCTAAATGGTGGAGTCGAACTAGCCGAGAAGTTATTGAAAGATGAGAAATTGTCCAACACTAAAGCGGCAATTGAAGGACTTGAGGGCATTATGCTATTATTAAAATATTGTGAATTATTTGGAATTAAAGACAAAATTGTTTTCGACTTAAGCTTAGCTAGAGGATTGGATTATTACACTGGTGTAATTTATGAAGCTGTTTTAACTGGCAAGTATTTAATCTAGTAATGAAATTTATCTTTCAATGTATCATGAAATTGGGTCTCTCAAGTTCTGTTTATTAAAAGAAAAATATACATATGCACAGTAAATATGATTATACAATGCAGATATGCATTAAAATAACCTGATTTCAATTTACTACTGGGTATTATTATTTTTATAAGAGAAGGATAAATCCTACTATTAGCAATTTATTAAGCAGTTCAATATAGTTCTATTTAGAATTTCCATCTGTTGCACGAATGTAATTGTTTTGTCCTGTAATTCAGTATGAAAACATAGAATATGTAATCAATGTTTTAAAGAAAAATGTTTATAGGAATTTTGTAATTAGTTAGCATATTTATTCAATCTGATATTACCAAAAAAAACAGATGCTTTTGGTAATATCAGATTGAATATGCTAATAGAATAAATAGCTGACAAAAAGAAACCGAATATATTTATTTATTAATGAGGTCAAGTCTTTAAAAGTTATGTTCATGTATGAAACTAATAATTATAAATGAAATATAAGGTTGGAGTTTTCCGTTTGTTAGTAAATTGGAGCGAAGACAGATTAATATCAGCTACTTGTGCAACTTAGGCAATAACCAAGTAATTTTCTTTAACAATAACCACTTTTGTATAATTTTATCGTTATTAAGCTAATTATAAATATTTAATTTCAGAGCCAATTAAAATCGGTAATGAAGAACAATCAGTCGGATCTATAGCTGGTGGAGGTAGATATGATAACCTTGTTGGGATGTTTGACACTAAGAATAAACAGGTATAGATTTTAACATTAAACTAAAGTATTTAGAAGATATGGGAACTTAATCGGAAATTTAATTGTTATATTATTTCTTGCCAAGAACATGAACGTCAGGCCTTTTAATTTATGGACATGCAGGTATTATGTTTTAGAAGGCTCAAATACTTGTGGTGCTAGTAAGTAAGCCATTAAGGAAAATGTATTGCTAAAAATAAATTTATATACATAAAAGTACAGTTTTTGCAATAATGAATGTATTGTGTTAATTTGTATTCATACTACCCTGCTGAGTGAATTTTGTATATATGGATTCTGTAATAAAGTATTCTGTGGCCTTAATTTAAATGGCTACACCAATAATGCTGTAGATATATAAATGTTTATGCTGCTAGTTTTCAGTGGCACCAGTACGAAAAAAGAGAGTATTGCGTATTTTATTATATCTATGGTGCTGTTCATGTCCAAAGGCCATAATTAGTTCTTTTTACGTGTACATGTTATTTCCTTGTCACAGGAAAATATATGTATCTTTACAATTATTAGGGTATTATTTATATGTGTTAACATTATTGCAGGTTCCATGTGTAGGTGTCAGTATCGGCGTTGAGCGCATCTTTTCAGTTCTTGAGGCGAAGTTGGCGGCCGGCGAGATGCGCGTACGCACCAATGAAGTGGACGTGTATGTCGCATCAGCGCAGAAAAATTTCCTCGAGGAACGAATGAAGATCTGTACTGAATTGTGGAATGCCGGCATTAAGGTTTTTATTTAGAATACCTATATTATATTCTCGTTAATACTCAGCTACTTAACGGCTCAACTAGTTGTAGTATAGGCTCTTACACTATAATTTTCGATCAATACTAGTATCAATTGTTTTAATATAATAATAGGTGATTTTATTAGTAGAGCAATTTAGTTTCAAGTACGAACTATAAAATTCTAAGACATTTTTAATATTTGGAAGTATGTAGCATTGAAGTTATTCTTTAGAGAACTTTACGACATATGCCTTAATATCTTAATGACTATAGTTTTTAGAGAAGACTTATAGGAATAAAATTAATTGATTGATTCAAGTGTGCCTCATTTAATAAAATAGATTAACGAAGGTGAAATCTTATAAAACTTTTTGTATCGGTTTGTGAGAGACAAGGACCACAGACTAGATCATAGACATTATATCTTTTAAAATATAAATGCCGAAGTGTATATTTTCACATAAATTTTATAACTAAAAAAATTGTACATATGTATTTTTTATATTTGTATTAGTATATTGTACAAATTAATAAATAATTATTAATTATATAATTACAAATAATAATTTTAATACAATTAATTGTATTTATGTTCATTCAGACTGAGCAGTCCTACAAGAAAAATCCTAAGATGCTGACTCAGCTACAGCATTGTGAAGATAGTTGTATACCTCTCGCCGTAGTATTAGGAGAATCGGAATTGAAGCGAGGCATGGTGAAGATAAGAGACATTGTTTCAAGGCAAGAAGAGGAGGTACAAAGGGAGGATTTAGTGAAAGAACTGAATGCTAGGATAGCATCGTTGAATAAAAGAGGGATAAATGGAGTCTGAAGTTGAATTTATAAATAAACATTTAGTTACGCGCATTTATTTATAAGAGCTATTTATTTATGTATTGATCACATAAATAAATAAAAGACTACGATTCAAAATGCTGCACAACAAAATACCAGTATAAACGCTATTTTAACCTTTTTTCACGTCTATTTACAAATTGTATACATTTTATTAATGGGGTATTTGGATACCACGTTAATGTATGTTTTAAAAGAGTAAATTTTGTTGTGCATTAATTTGAAAATGGAATGTGAATTTGGAGCGTTTTGTATAACATTTAATAGAGACAGTATTAGAATCCAGAAGGATTGTCACGAACTCTTATTCAGTTTTTATTAATTCTATTGTCTATGTATATGTGTGCCAAATGAATGGTAGTATGTATATATATTTTTTAATATGCATACATATATACATACTTTTTGCACTTGCCCATTATAAACTTTAACCGTGTCAAATTTCGTACTCCTTCATCCAGTACAGAGTTTTTGTTTTAGGTTTTAATATTATATGTATGTTTTTTTTATTCTGTAGGTGAATTGTGGGACAGAATTGGTATGTACTTAATGTACACTTAATATGTGTAGATTAAGATAGGGTAATAATTATCGACTAGAACCATACGTAAATAATTTGTATGTATGTATGTAAGTCAAACATTCTTCCTTATATCGTCCTATTTTTTCTTTTCACGAGTCAGGCAAATAGTTCAATGACGTAATACAGTGGCTATAAATTTGAGAAATCTATGTAATAAGAATAAGAGTTCATGATGAGCCTTTAGTTGTAGTATTTATTTTTTAGTATTTTATATTTTGGCGCCAAAATAATAATAGTTGTCACAACTACTTACTATTAGTTTTATCTGTGTACAAATTTTCTTTATAATAATTTAAAAAAAATCATTGTTATAAACAATAGCTGTAATATTCAACACATTTTTATGTTATGGCACTATCCATATATTAAAAACTTTGTGAGTGAATTGTGATACAAGTCCGATTTAATAAATATGGCGTGGACAATTGTGTGGGTTCTAAAATAAAATTACAGTGTATCGTAAATGTTGCTTTATAGTCCAAATTATTGAGAATATGTTTATAATTTGGAAATTGTTATGTAATTTTTTTTTCAACACCAATGTATTTGATGCGAGTATGTAATGTAAGCATGTAAATACTTTATTTTTTAATATTAAGTGCTACTGTTGTTTTAATTTAATTTGCCTATGTGGTCGGAAATGTAATTACTTAGTAACGTACGAGCGTACTTTGAAACAAATTATTAAATTATATGGCATTTAAAATGAGGCGCGAAAATATTATATTTCCAAATTATATACTTTAATTTGCTTTTGATTTTGACACTGCGCAAGCCTAAGTAAACCTGTATTAATTGTTATAACTTATAATTTTTTTTTCGATTTTTATTGTATAGGAGTGTGGCGTTACATTATTTCTAATAAATATTAGAAAATCTAATATTGGCTTGTATTATACTTCACATTTAGCATTATGGCATTTAAATATTTGAAATGTAGACATGTAATGCATTTAAAATATGTACCAGTTTCCACGTTCTAAATTTAGTTACTTATTACCTTTACCTGTGTTATTTTTAAATAGTTTTTTATATATGTTTGTATATTCTGAGTGAATTTTATTTAATAAATGTCTCTTTCGTTTATCTCATTTCCGTTCTTTCATTTACATACTAATTACTAGTTTCTGACTCTGTTAGAATTGGAAAGCTATGTTTTACAACAATATTTTTATATATTGGGTATCTGGAAGAAGGTTTACCGTAAGTAAACATTTTAATTGTATGGATTTGCTGGCTATGTATCTTAGCTTGCTATGTACGTTGCTTCAAAATAAGTAAAAAATTAACAAAATTATCGAAAGCTTTTCAAACAAAGATGGGCTCAAGAAAACAATGTTTAAACCCAATAAATAATATCGATTAGACGTGTATAATGTGGCCGATAAATAATTTTTCCAACTTTTAAAAAGAATTCAATTCGACTGTAATTCTGATTTTTTAATTCAATATTTATATTTATGAATTAACTGAACCCGCGACTACATAATTATAGGTACCTTTTGAAATATTTGTTTGTTTATAACAAAATAGATTAGTATTCTCATGAACAACAAACATTTTAGGTGTAGTTTAACAGGTACCTACGTTAGTGAAATCGCACCTAAAGCATGATAAAGTTCCGCAATAATAGCATTCCGCAATTTTTCTCTTATATCTTCCTTGTATCGACATCGATAAATTAGGTACTTTTTTTATTATAGTTATGTACAAACAAATTGAAAGAATATAGGTATATAGACTTCTGTTAATGTTACGTACCTATATATCCGTAAACGTCATACAAATATCAGTATTAGCTATACCTACTGTAACGTGAATTAATTCGACACACACTTTATCAAGGTAGATAGGTAGATACGTACCCATTTTATCCCTACATACAATCAATCCTCCAGCGAACAATAGATGCAATGTCAAATTAGTAGATGTAAGTACTCGGTGGTGTTATCTAAACAATGATCGCAAAATAATAGGTATCCGATAAACTGTTCAATGAGCAAAATGTCAACTACTCTAGGTACATAATACATAGTCTTATTTTATGTTTAGTTAAGTTACTAATAAGTCACTAGGTATTAATCTGTGGTAACTTATTGGTAACTTCCGAGACGCCAGCATTGGAAGAATTAATCAAGATGAAATCAGTTTACCTTCTTATTATTATATAGATAGTGAGCCTCTAGAGATCTATAATTTAAAGATTGAATAATCCGAATCAAGATATATTATAGTATGTTAGACGTGCTGTAGGTACCTTAAACTTACTTATCCACTAAGTAGTATTTTTCTCAAGGGTTCATATAAAACTAATTCCATGTTATTAATTGATCGTCTAGGTGATCTAGCGGTTTAGCATACGACTTTACTTTAGATGGTTGTGGATTCGGTTCTGGAACGGTTCATTTGTGTTCATTAAAATGATTGTATTGGTCTGAAAGTTTTTTATGTATGTATTTGTAGATATTATTATGTATGTATTATTCATACAAAATATTTACAAGTAAGTAGGTATAGTTATAGTTGTTTAGTAACCAAAACACAGGATCTGCTTATTTTGAGACTTGAAGACTGTGTGGAACTGTAGATTGTTTTGAGTTATTATTATGATTTAAGTTGGGATTCGTAATAAAATTATTATATACTACTGAAAACAATATAAGGGCCACTAATAAAATAATCTCTAAACAAACATTATTATTGTTTCAAGTTTGTAATAGTCTGTAAATGTTAAATTATGGGTTCTTTAAAGTGTCACTAATGTTTATAGTGACAAATTAATTTGGTGGTTACACTTTTTTATTTTATTTAACGCTTAACTTGATGACTCTTGAAAATTCTATTTTTGTGACATTTAATTTTATAACTTTTGATTATAGTTCCTGCCGCTAACAGGGCAGACGGTTAATATCGTGTCTTTGATTTCAAAATGCCTCGTTTTAGGAGACCTATGGATGCACTTACAGCGACTAGGGTCGTAACTTCAATCCAGGAAGGTCACAGTCAGCGCGCTGTACGTTTAATGGTTGGGTTTTCACGGCGGGCCGTTGGATGATTGGAACCGGTACCAGAAGATGGATACTGTCGTCAGACGTCATGATTCAGGAAATGTTCGGGTTATAACAGATCAAGAAGACCAGTATACCCGTTTAACCGCACTAAGAGAGCGGACGTGCATAGCACGGACCATACAAAATACGTTATGCCGAGCTACAGGCACTCGTGAGTGTGACCTAACTGTACGAAATCAACTCCATGAAGACCAACAATATTCAAGAAAATATTTAGTTCGTATTCATTTAACTGCAGTACATTATGCAAATCGTTTAAGTTTACAAGACAACACCTGGATTGTAGAGTTTAAGACTGCACTGCAGAGCTCTTTCCTGATGAGAGTAAAATTAAATTTTAGAGTGATGATTGACGCATTAGAGTGCGGAGATGATTTGGAGAAACGGTTTTAGATCCATGCATACTCAGAACAGACCGTTATGGTGGACCCAGCGAAATGGTCTGGGGCGGAATAACTCTACAACGAAAAACTGAGCTCGTAATTTTTAATTAAGGTACTGTATCTGCCCAAAGTTACATTAACAATATGGTACAATAGCAGATTATTTCATTTTGCACATCAAGCTGGACCAGGGTTCATCTTGCTGCAGGACAATGTTCGACCGCGCACGGCGCGAGTAACAATTTCCACATTAGCTGAAGCTGAAATTGAAGTGATGCAGTGGCCAGCTAGAAGTCCTGACCTGAATCAGAGCGAGCACTTATGGAATCAACTAAAAAGAAGTGTCAGAGACAGTGACATTCGCATTAAACACGAAGCAAGATCTCATGAATGCTTTGAAAAGTCGCTGGGAGAGGATTTCAGAAGTTAACGTCTGCCATTTAATTGAAAGCATACCTTCAATGATATGGGTATGTGTTAATAAAGGAGGAGGTCACACAAGATATTAAACAACAAAAAAAAACTCTTTAAACGTTCATTAAGAAAATATGGCATTTTTTAAATCCATTGTTTTTTTCTTTATTTTCTCATTCTTTCCCAAAATGCAATTTTTTAGAGATAAAAAAATCCAATTGAACTTTATTTTTCTTTAATTAAATTTCAAAGAACCCATTTCAAATATTTTGAATCAAAATTTATTGAATTATGAGGCTTATTTTACAAAAATACAATAAAATTTAGGTGGCCCTTATTTTGTTTTGAGTAGTATATTATATATCGGATTGCGTTTTATACTAATTGAAACATTATATAGTTTCTGACCAATTTATGAATAGGTATTAAATCAGTATTTGCGCTAAGGCATCGTACTTTAGTCAATGTCCTCGAGTAGGTTTTATTGACCTCGATCATCATGGGCTACGCTGCACGTCCGTGCTTCAAGTTCGATAATGTCATGTCATGGACGCTCCGTTTGTTCATGTTGTCGTGCTGACTAGTTATTGTTCCCATCAGCAGCTTCTGTGGTTCCTGTCATTGTGCCCTAATTCGCCGTGAAGTCCAACACGAATTTCATCAATATAAAACTGTTTTTACAATGGGAGTCTCACCTATTACGTACTCAGACATTTTAGCAACAACATCTCTGTCTTATTCTGCATACTTAGTGTAATGAAATGATTCTTCGATACAAAACATTTATTAGTATATCAATATCAGTGATTTTGTTAACTTCTTGTGTGGGTGCATCTGCGCTGAAAGAAGCATTGGAAGAACACTTAAAGGATGCTGCTCATAAAGAAGGAGCTGAGTCCATCAAACAAGATAAGCAAAAAGGGGAAAAGATACATGAAATCGAAACTCAAATCAATGATAACCATAAAAATCAGTTTTCTAAAGCCAATGACGAAGCAAAATATGTAAAGAAAGATCACGACTCTAAATCAACAGCCGAGAGTGATGCATACCAAGGTTATAATTCCCAGCAAGACAAAGCCGAGGATAGCCAAGCAACAGGTTATAAAAGGGGCCACAAAAAAGGACATCATAAACAAGGATTCCAAAATTCTTATCACAAAGACGAATCTTCCAATAAAAGTACATTCTTCGACGATTTCAACGATGAAGGTGATCAAGCTGCTTACAACAGTAAATTAAATAGTCACGATAATCAAGGTGGTAGACATTATCAAGGTTCTCATAACAATGGTCAGGAGCATTTACGGGATAATTATCATCAAGGGGGATACAATCGTTACGGCGATAATGGTGCTAAATATGCAGGCCATCAAGATCACGGAAAAAATATTATTTAGATGATAATCTAAACCATAATAAGTATTATGATGATAGAAATACCTACAATAGGGATAAAGTGCATGATCGTTTAGAATATCATGCTCCGCCTGTTCGCCACGATCCAGGATGGGATTGGAATAGATGGAATGATGATAGAAAAGGTTGGGACCGACCCGGTTGGCAAAGAGATCATGGATGGGATAGAAATCCAGGATGGGATAGAGGACCTGGCTGGGAAAGAGATTATGGTGGACCTGGATATTATGATGATTATGGCGTGCGACATGATGGTGGATATGGTTATGGTCCAAATCATGGATATGGGTACGGATATGACGAATCTCGAAACGATCCAGTGGCTCAAGTTCCAAAAAATGCTCCAGTTGTTGCACATCATAAACAGACCATCACTATTTACGAGGATCCTAGATACGATGGAAAGGATAAGGGACAATTGAGGCGAGAGGAAGGTGATTATCTGCAACTTGAATATAAGCCTAGCACACATCGATATGCGAGTTATGACGACACGTATTATAATGTACCAAATGCAAGAGAAGGCGGCATGGAATCAAGCAAGATTAACAGACTTGTTTACAATTATAGACGGCAGTAAGATTATTTGTAAAACTAATTTATTTAATATCTATAACGGATAGATTTGATGTCATTTAAGATTTATGGTTATTTATGATTATT